GTCTTCAGGGGGAAGGAGGTATCTTTGAAAGGAAGTCAAGGGGACAGACGGCAGTTTTCAAGTGGGATACAGGAGGAGAGAGAAAGCTGAGTTTGGGCAATGTCAGTATTTGGGGCTTCTGGCTGTGTCTCTCTTGAGATCTGATGAGAGGCGGTAAGATTAGGCTCTGTGCGGGGAATGTTTAAGCTGTACCTGCATCTATGCTCAACCTTTACATTTGTGAATAAATGCAAATATTACAAAATGCAAATGAGCCTCCAGTGACGCCATTCAAGAGTAAATCAAACCCGGAATTTTGCCATTCGCCGCAATAAATGTGCACAGCACTAAGAGGAGTAGCCAATAGGAAGTCCTTCAGATGCTGCTGGGACTATACCTTCCATCACTCCTGACCCTTGGCTGTACCACCTGGGGCTGAAGGGCATTTTAATTCAGCAACAACTGAAGGATGCCACGTTGGCTATCCCAGAAGTAAAGGTAAAGGGACCCCTGACCATTAGGTCCAGTCGTGACTCTGGGGTTGCGGCGCTCTTCTTGCTTTATTGGCTGAGGGAGCCGGCGTACAGCTTCCGGGTCATGTGGCCAGCATGACTAAGCTGCTTCTGGCGAACCAGAGCAGCGCACAGAAACACTGTTTATCTTCCTGCCGAAGCGGTACCTATTTATCTACTTGCACTTTGACGTGCTTTCGAACTGCTAGGTGGGCAGGAGCAGGGACCGAGCAACGGGAGCTCACCCCGTCACGGGGATTCGAACCGCCAACCTTCTGATCGGCAAGTCCTAGGCTCTGTGGTTTAACCCACAGCGCCACCCAGAAGTAGAAGATGGCAAAGCACCACTCAGCTCGTTCTTATATTTGTCTATTACAAAGCAAGTTCCCACCGTGCTGAGCGATACTTCCTGCTCAGTGAACATGCATTGGACGGCAGCTATAAACGTTCCTCTATAAAATATCAAACTCTTATTATAATGGCTAATATTAAGAGAAAATAAAACAATGCTAGTATTTAATCAATCATGCTTAAAATGCTGGAAGGAAGTTTTCTAAAAAAATTCTGGGAGCAGTGGGGAAAGTTGCAGGTGTGCTAAGCTCCCATTCTTATTTATCCGTATTTATCCATTTATTCATATTAGGTAAACAATGCATCCTAGAACCAGTGGCGGAGCTTCATGCTCTGGCACCGGGGGGCAGAGAGCAGGCGTGGCAGGCATCCTGGGGGCGTGGCGTGCCGCCTGTGGGGTGTGGCACCCAGTGCGGATGGGGAGTAGCCACGATGGCACCCCACTGGGATCGCACTGCCAGGGGCAGTGCGTTCCCCCTGCACTCCTCTTCCTCCGCCACTGCCTAGAACTGGAGCACCTATTTTCTACCACCACCCAGAAACTCTGGCCTGAGGAAAAGTACTGCATGCTATCTCTTTTCCAGGTTTTCAAATACTGCACAGTATTGTTGTATACCCCTATACAACAACAAAACCTCTCACTGCATTCACAGAGAGCCAGTGTGGTGTAGTGGTTAAGAGCGGTGGACTCATAATCTGGTGAACCAGGTTCGCGTCTCTGCTCCTCCACATGCAGCTGCTGGGCCAGTCACACTTCTCTGAAGTCTCTCAGCCTCACTCACCTCACAGAGTGTTTGTTGTGGGGGAGGAAGGGAAAGGAGAATGTTAGCCGCTTTGAGACTCCTTCGGGTAGTGATAAAGCGGGACATCAAATCCAAACTCTTCTTCTCTTCTTCAGTGAAATTTACTGTCATGTAAATGGACGCAGGATTGTAGCCACAGATGACATAGCAGGACCAGGTCCTAATCTTGCACAATCACTTGGGAATAAACCCTATTAGTATGTGCAGCCCAATCCCCTGAATTTTTGCACAGAAGTAAGTTCCAGTGAGTTTAGCAGGCCTTATTTCCAACTAAGCATGCACAATATCACGGTCTAATTATTATTTTGAATAATTAACAATAGTTGTTATAGTTATAGCTTTTTTAAGATAAACAACAACACCGGCAGGCGGTGATGGTGTCCTGCTCATTCCCCTCTCTTGCCAGAGGCATATATTTAAGTACTTTAGTCCTTTACTTACTTAAGTCCTTTAAGAAAACTTATATACTGCTGGACTGAAACAAAAACAAACCCCAAGTGGTTTCACAAGCAGTAGTTGAATGATAATTCAGAATACTTCGAAACAAGCAGTTTTAAACACTAAAAAATCTGCAAAATTCAGGAGTGAAGAAGTAACAAGGGATTGGAAATGCCTGCTGGACGGGTTTGCCTGAAGATGCTCTTAGCAGACAGCCCGGCACCTGCCTGGAGTCCGTGGGGCAGGGATGGAGATGGAGAAGAACCCGGCAGATTTCTCCCTCCCTCTCTCTGCACCATGTCCAGCCACATGAAGGGGTACAGCGGGAAGGTGTGGGTAAGCAGTCCTGTGATGGGCAGAGGGCCCCATGGCTCTGCACTGATGGCAGCCAAGAGACTGGCAGCAGCAGCAGCAGCAGCAGCAGCAGCAGCAGCTTCTTCTTCTTTGGCGATCCCTCGTAGCCGAGTAAGATTGTCTTCCATAAACACTGTTTTAACATTGGGCCCGTAAGTGACTGTGGAGGCCAGTTCTTCCACAGTGGGGACATGGGTTTCCGGACGGGAGTTGATCATGGTGAGGGTTTGCCAAGCATGCTCTCCTCTTAGCACGTTTCTCCCTTGCATCCTGAGTTTGAGTGTCTTCAAAGCTTATGGCACCTTTGGTAAAGGCTGTTCTCCAACTGGAGCACTCGGAGGCCTGTGTTTCCCAGTTGCCCAGTATACGACTTTTCTTTAGATTTGCCTTGAGAGAGTCTTTCCATTTTTAAGTTGGGAATAGAGAAGTTGCTTTGGAAGACGATAATCAGGCATCTGAACAACATGACCAATCCAACGAAGTTAATGTTGAAGAATCATTGCTTTGACACTGGTGATCTTTGCTTCTTCCAGTACACTGGCAGTAGTTTCCCTGTCTTCCCTGGTGATGTTTAAAATTTTCCAGAAACACCGTTGATGGAATCTTTTGAAGAGTTGGAGATGGCGTTTATAAGTGGTCCATGTTTCACAAGCATACAGTACAGTGGTACCTCGGGTTAAGTACTTAATTCGTTCCGGAGGTCCGTACTTAACCTGAAACTGTTCTTAACCTGAAGCACCACTTTAGCTAATGGGGCCTCCTGCTGCTGCCGCGCCGCCGCTGCACAATTTCTGTTCTTATCCTGAAGCAAAGTTCTTAACCCCAGGTACTATTTCTGGGTTAGTGGAGTCTGTAACCTGAAGTGTATGTAACCTGAAGTGTATGTAATCCGAGGTACCACTGTACTGTATTTCATGCCTACTCTGATATTGACCCTTACTTTTGCAGCCTGCAGAGGGGTCTGCAAAGGAGAGGGGATATCAAAGCAACCCAACTTATTGTTCCTTTTATCATCTTTCGAGGAGTTGGAGGTGGTGTTTATGAGTGGTCCGTATTTCATAAGCATACAGTAAAGTTTTTTTTTTTTTGATTGAGTCACTTAAGAGACATTCTTCAAGGGAAGTTGGAACCCAGTTTGCAAAAGAAAGAGCAAATGGAGAGTTTTGTGGGGCCCAGTACTGCTTCATGCTTCAAGTAGCTGAATAACCTGGATGGCCAGTTTTTAATGAAAATTGCTTTGGCTTTCCACATAGTTCTTCCTTCAATTCTCATTTCCAGTTGTAGAGTAACAGTTCCAAATGAGAACTGTTAGGAAATAACGATCAGCTGGAAGGGTGCTGGAGCGCAGCTTTACTGCAGAAGGCTACTCCAATTGGGAACCTTTGGGTTCCAATTCTGACAGGTCAAATTCAGCAGGGCTAGTAGGAGCTTCAGGTTCTTCAGTTTTCATGGAAGATCAGTATTTCCAAAATACAGCAACTAGAGCAAGCACAACTAAAAGAGCCAGGATACATCCAACAATAATTGGGGTGTTGTCAGTTTCTATATCATCTGGAGGAAGCGTTGTCTGTGGACCTGGTCCAAGGTCTACGGCGCCCTCTCCTCCTTCTTCAGTGGTTGCATTTGGACCACCTGGGTAAGAGCTGCGTTTCCGGGTTTGATGGTGGGGGCAGTTGGTGTGGCAGCTCAAACTGGACAATGAGAGAAACAGTAGCAGGAGTAGCAGCGGCGAGGGCGACAAAGTTGGTAGTACAGTGGTACCTCGGGTTACATACGCTTCAGGTTACAGACTCTGCTAACCCAGAAAAAGTGCTTCAGGTTAAGAACTTTGCTTCAGGATGAGAACAGAAATCGTGCTCCGGCGGCACAACGGCAGCAGGAGGCCCCATTAGCTAAAGTGGTGCTTCAGGTTAAGAACAGTTTCAGGTTAAGTACGGACCTCTGGAACGAATTAAGTACATAACCCGAAGTACCACTGTACAATAGCTTTGCAAACAAGCATTTTGGTTTCCCTGCGAATGTCCTGGTCCTCAAACACTCTGCACTTCAGTAGTAGTAGCAGCAGCAGCATCCCCTGGAAGGGGCTATAATAATAATATTTTTTTATTTATACCCCACCCTCCCCAGCTCAGGGCGGCTAACAACCAATAATAAAAACAAGTTGATTAAAATACAATTTAAAAGATTAAGATGCCACATTAAAACTTTTAATGCCCCTGCATCTCCATCTGCGCTCTGCCCCTGTCCAGGGAAGCCCCACGCGGGGCCGCGCGGCGTCAGCAGCCCCGCCCACGCTCCCTCCCTCTCGCGGCGCCTTCCCCCGCTTGCCTCTTTAAGGGCCGGAGCCTCCCGCGCGCGCGGGGCCCCCCGCTGAGCTCTCTGAGTGACAGGCAAGCGGGTGGGCGGGGCCTGCGACGCCGAAGCGAGCGGTGGGAGGCGCCGCCGCTTTCGTCCGCCGGCCAATGAGGGCTCAGCGGGCGGGCCTTCCCCCCCTGTGGCTCCTCCCCCGGCTCCTCCCCCTCCCGGCTCCCTCCCTCCCTCCTTCCCTCGCTCGCCTGGCGGCGCCTTCCCCGTGTCAGTTGGCGGAGTCCGGAGCCGGAGCCTGAAACAAAAGCGAGAGGCGGCGGCGGCGGCGGCGTTGGCGGCGGGGCTCCTGCGAGTTCGCCCGGCTGAGGCGCGGAGAAGGCGGGGAGGCGCGCGACCGGCGGCGGCGTCGTCCGAGAGAGAGAGGAGCGTCCGTGAGGGAAACTTTCTCCGCGCTTCCTTTCTCCTCACGCGGAGGCTCCGTCGGCGGGAGGCGAGGGAGCCGGACCGGCCTCCGGCTCCAGGGCGCCCGGGAGGAGGGCTCGCCTCAGCCGCCTCAGCCGCCGCCGCTTCCGGAAGGCGGCTCCGCGGGCACCGCCGCCGGAGAGCAGCGCTCTTTCTTTCCCCCGCCCGAAAACAAGCGGAGAAGCCGAGCGGTTGCTCGGGGGTCCCCTTCGCCGAGAAGGCGGGCGGGCGGGCGGGCAGGCAGGGGCCGCCGGCCGCGCCTCTCGGGAGCGGGGCGCGATGGATGACCAGCCCCGTCTGATGCACTCGCACGCCGGCGTGGGCATGGCCGGCCACCCGGGCCTGTCCCAGCACATGCAGGACGGGGCCGGGGGCGCCGAAGGCGAGGGGGGCCGCAAGCAAGACATCGGGGACATTTTGCAGCAGATCATGACCATCACCGACCAGAGTTTGGACGAGGCGCAGGCCAGGTGAGCCCTCCCTCCCTTCCTCCCCCCTCTCGTCGCTACCATGATCATTATAATCGTCATTATTATTATTATTATTATTGCACCACATTTCTTTTCGCGGCAGGATCCTGGTCCTCTAAAAGCCTGACTCGCAGCCGAGCTCTCTCTGTGCAGCAAACAAAAAGTATAGCTCTCCAGGAAAAACAACATCCCATTATCATTATGATCATCATCATTATTATTATTATCGCACCACATTTCTTTCCGCGGCAGGATCCTGGTCCTTTAAAAGCCTGACTCGCAGACGAGCTCTCTGTTCAGCAAACAAAAAGTATAGCTCTCCAGGAAAAACAACATCCCGATTGGGTGTCTTCTATGGAGCAACATGCCAGAATGGCATATTTAAGTGTACAGTATATAGGTGTGATTTCTAGTGGCGTGCGGGTACGTGCAAATGTTTAGGGAGAGAAGGCTCTTCTGCTCTTTTTTCTCTTTTTTTTGCCAAGTTAGGTAGGGCTGAATTGGCTCCTTTGGTCGCCTTGTGCATCTGCACCTTCCCATCTGTGTTTTGTGACACCTCAAGAGCTGAAAGGCTGGAGCAGCCACTTTCTTTGGCCAAAAGACCGAAATCTTGTCCTCCTTTTAGCTGAGCTTTGGGATATTTAGGGTCTTACATGCTGGACTCCTCCATTCCTGTCTGCTGAGTGGGGCACTGAATGGAACATATCGGTGAACGTCACACCAAAAATTATCTGGAAGACCTTTTAAACTTTTTAAACCTTAGTTTTATAGATCCGTTTTGAAGGGATCTGGTGACCTGAACTCTGTTTTTGAATTAGTGAAAAGGAGCAGCCATAAAAGGCCTTGTTTGCTGTACTGCAAACTTGGTTACTCCGAGTTCATTGCCACTACCGTTCTTTAACCGCAATCCAAGGAAGTTAAACTCACTTAATTCCATTTAAATGGGAAGGTTTATTCATAGACGATGCTTCGAGGATTGTGGCCCTTGTGTACAAAAAGGGCACATTTTCCTGTCCTCTTGTATTGGTGAATGTTGTGCTGCAACTGGAGCCTTGTAGCCATTTGTTTGTGTGTAAAGACACAAACAGGTTTTTTGTTGCTAAAATAATGAGTTGAACATATTAGCTGAGTACAGAGGCTCGTAGAGTCTAGCCACTAAATGCCGCTTCACATATGAACATACAGATTTCATTCACAGATCGTGCTTTCCATGTTGGAAATGGCATGAAATCTATGTATGTGTGTGACAATTGCACATGAGTATATATCATTAATAACACATATTGGAACATTTGGCAATCTACACTTACCCATAACAAGTATGTTTCAATTGCTGATTTTATCACAGAAGCCAACACACCGTTTTGTGCCTGACACAAAATTTTGGGGCAGGGAGTAGTATTTTAAAATAATAATTATTATTATTGTTACACAAATTTTGAAATATATAATATTTTTTATTTGGATGATTAAATGGTCTCATTGGTCAATATTGTGTGCACATTGGAAATTTAAAATACAATGCTTCTTAAAAAGAAACATGCCAGTTAAATAGCCTGGAATGCTGCACAACACTCTTAACGTAAATCTACAAAATCATTATTGAAGTTGGAAAGGAATACATGGATTTACAGAAGAGAAGAATGGACAAGAAGGAAAAATAGCAAAACAAAAAGAAGAAAAAGTTGCCCAGTGACCACTAGAATTTCATTACCTGAAGAAAAGCTTCTAGCACTTCACCTGCATTTTGTATCTTGCACTTACCACAGAGATTTTCATTCTGCGTCCGTGTGTCCCTCAGAAGCTACACACATTACTAAATAGCTTTGCAGCTGCTATCTTGGTACTTAATCCAAAAGGCCTTAAAAAACAAGAAAACACCTAGAATGAAAAATGCCAGTTGTATAAAACGCTTTTCGTAAAACACTTGGCCTTGATGAGGAATAGCTTCTGTTGAACGATGCTTCCCAGTATTGCCGTTAGACAAAGGGGAAAGAAGCTGCTTCTGAAAGTTTAAGTTTATGTTTGGTGAAATGTTTTTTGTGTGTAAAGATACTGCACTAATTGAATTGGAAATCAATACAAATGTAAGGATTCTTTTTATAGCCAGTTACTCTTTACACACTCCTTTAGCCGCTCTGCTAGCGGGTCCGTTTAGTAATGCAGCCGTAGAAATCAGTTTGTGCATTTCAGTTTTTCCTATGATTTTTAATTATATATCTCTTTATAAGGAACTGTAGAGATGTTGCGGTGATGGCAAGGCTGTGAAAATGTGGCTGTGATCTTTTCAGTGTCCTTTTACCCATCTTTGTGCTTGGCCAAAAAATATTTTGGAGGCAGAAAGAAGGTTTTGTGTACCAGATGCTCATACAGAGGGAGCCCAACTGTGAGAAGAAGAGAGGCAGGAACCTTAGGCAGTGTTATGGGGTGCCATTTAAGGGGCAGGCCCCTTAAAATGACAGGAGCTGTCCAAAGTCTTCACATGCCTTGTGAAGGAGACTTTCCTAGTGAGTTGTGTCCCATATTAATCAGTGGAATGAGGGGGCTTCCTTAGATTTTTCTGCCTGAGGCACCAAAACACTCACAGACTTATGTAAGCTTCATTCAAAAACCCATTTTGCAACAGATGCTGGATGAAATTAGTCCTTTTGTACATGACAACAACTCTTTACAAAGTGATTGTTTCTAATATTTAAGAAATTCTATTTCTTAGACATAAACAATCTGAGCACCTGCTAGGACATGAAACTGATCAGCCTTATAAACAACAACTTGCTGGACCTCCAAGAAAAGAGGAGACTCAGAAAGATCCATTTGCATTCTGACCACTTGTGTAAATGCTAAATTAGCAAGGTTTTTTTGTCATTCTGATTCATGTATCGGAGTGTTTATGAGATTTCTTTTGGGAGGCTGACTGATTCTAACACCTTCAAATAAGCAAGTAGAGCATAAAGGTAATAAGAGCATGGAAGTAATTATTTTCCCTCCCTCCCCATTGCATGTGTGCTTTCTCCTGGCAGTGCATTACTGCATTTCTGTGCTCTTTTCAACTCAATGGCTAAAATTTCTGTACATCGGCTTTCCGTGTTGAAGCACCTTGTTTATACTGTGGCATCTGCACAATGAATTGAACCACATGGGTGAATAAAATAACAACGTTCCCTACACTGCCACGAGATGGTGGTTCAGAAGGTGATTAATAAATTGAGTGTAATAATAATAATAATATCTGAAAAAAGATCTTCATTGGACTTATGAATGGCTTATACATACTCCTATCATTGACCTACTCATAGCTTGGCCAGTAAACATGGTATATGAAAGCTACTGAAATGCTGCTATCAGACAGTTCCCTAAGCAAGTGGTATTTGTATTGCCATATGCGTTGGACAATCACCAAACTGGTGTCCCGTCAATTTAAAACTGTAAGCTGTTTTTCACCCTTGCATAATTTTCAGTGATGTCTTAACCTTCAATATTTCTGCCTAAAACATCTTTTTTTAAGGCCTCTGTGGCACACTCTAAATATAAACTATTTTGATCTTGTTGCAGAAAACATGCTTTAAACTGCCACAGAATGAAGCCAGCACTTTTTAATGTTTTGTGTGAAATCAAAGAAAAAACAGGTAAGGAGAAACGTATCGTCTTGCACCTTTTCCCTCTTTTGCTGCCTTTCACATTTCATGTATTTCTAAAAAAACAAACAAAAGAAAACTTGTTTTGGTTTAAATATTTTATTTAAAGGGGAAAGCAGCTATTGTTTTATTCTTCGGAGAATGCATTCTTCTATCATATAAATGTCTAAATAGCACAATGAAGTCATTTGTGTCTACAATTCAGGGAATATTTTTTTCCGGGCACTATATGCCTCATTACTTTCTTAAATATTACATTAGTTGAAAACAACCCAGAACTGGATTAATTCAGCTGCAATACTTAAATCTTTTTTAAAAAGGGAATATTTGTCTTAAGATTTTAAGAGCTACTGGGAAATACATGGCTCCTAATGTGGAAAACACACGGAAAAGCCTTCATTTGGCATACATTCAGTCCAGGTAATGCACACATAGACACTCAAAGAGGGGTGTGTGTGTGTGTGTGTGTGTGTGTGTACACACACACACACACACACACACACACCTATAGATATGAGATTGTTGGCTGTTTAAGGATCTTGTTACTTTTATATCAAACAGTGGTTTTTTTGGTTACAAAGGTGCTAATGGCATGAGGTTGTTGATTCGGTCTGTGTTTCCCACTTCGCAGGCCTCCTGCCGTGCACTAATACACTTATAAAATGTCTCAGGGGGGCATTTAAATTTTAAAAGCAACAATTAAAAATAGCTGTCATCAATCAAGGGTGATCTTAAACAGCAGATGCTCAGAGAAGAGTGTTCAGTGACATGCAACACTTATTTATTTCAATTTTCAAATGGTCTTCGGAAGGGGAAATCCTGACTTACACCTTAGCCCACAGGAAAAGGTAGCTGGGAAGGCCACTGCTGAGTTTCAGCTCTTGAGTCCGCGGATGTGCGTTGCAAACTATCTACTACTCCACACGCCTCCCCCCCCCCCGCTTTTTTCCTAACAAGGATGTAACAGTCAGTAATTCAGATCTCAATCATATAAGTAAGGGGTATGACATGAATGAAAGTGACAACAAATATGATTGCAAACTCACTTGATATACATTGAAAAGTGATGCATAAAAGGGAAAGCAGCTTTCAGAAAATGTCTGTGTGCCTTTAAACTATGGGTGACTATGTTTCATCGTGTGAACAGCTGAGTGAAATGGGATTATTTGACTCCAGCAATCTATATAAGATGACTAAGGAGGTCCTTTGTTAAATCTTGTTTGTGCAGCTTGTAACCTAGACAAAGCACCTAGCATTGGCATTCAAGCCTCTAAAGCCCTTAAGGCTGCGAAGCCGAATGCTGACCTTCTTTAGAAGCCATTCATTATGTGGCTCTTATAATATAATGTAAAGGGGTCTCTGAGGTCTTTCTATAATGCGATGTAATGCTGCTTGAATATATAAGTTTAATAACAAGAACATCTGAATCTTCTAATCTTTTTCTGTTACTCTATGTGTTTTCTCTCTCTCTTAAAAAAAAATACTTTACATTGTCCCCTGTTTTCATATTCTCTTATTTGGGATTTTTTGTCTCTTGTGTGGCAGTCTTCTTAATTGATTTCTGCCCTGATCTGAAATTGAAGTGCTTATGAAGTGGTAGCAGATGGTTAGTGAAAACTGAACCTCTTTAGAACCCCTCTTCCCAGTCTAATATTTGGAGAGGCTGGGATTTGGAGGAAGGTGAGAAAATCCGACTTTCACTACCAGTGGGCTAATTCTGGTTGTATTACTGGCACAATCAGTGAGCAGCAGCTTGTTCAGCACAGAGGGCCACATTAGAAATATTGTCAGCTGGAGGGGTGCAACTAATTTGCATACTATTTGCATGTCATTGTTATAATCTCTGTACCATTTGAACCTTGCATAATCAGCACCTGCAGTTGAAATATCTCTTAGACTTATTCTTGCTAAGACATTTTTGCACGTACAAATGGGGAACATTTGAATGGATCATTGCCAAATAGGGAGATGCCTGGAGTCTTTGGAATCGCAAATATTGTGTTGAATTTCTCTCTCCGTTTGTACCTGATACTTTTGCATTTTTGCCATTATGTTTTCAAAAATCATCTCTGCATACACGGGAATAGGAAGCGGGTGGGGTGGGGGGAGATCCTATAATTCTCAGTTTTATAATAATGCTGGCTGTTCAGAAGTGTTTGGGGAGATAGGGACGGACTGCATGTTGATTGTAGATTGTAAATTGTCCACCTGACCTGCCACTCCGATGCACTGTGTGCGAGGTTGCATACAAAAAACAAGTCATACGTAGGGTTTTCTTTTTCTTAATGCTTATTGTTGTGCTGTTAGAAGTGTTTGTGTGTTTTAACCAGGCTTACTCCTGCTGAGTATACCCAGACAACCATGCGTTCACACACCTATATCCATAGCATTGAGAATCGAGGTGTGAGTGGTTGCGGTTGCGCTCTTTAGCACTTTCAGCATAAAGCAATGCAGCCCAGGGGGTGGGGGTTGTGGGTTCTGGCCTCAGGAATATTCCAGGCTGACATTTGCATGCTGGATACATTCTATGCCGTTGCTTAATTCAAAGTAAACCTTCTCCTGGATTGTTTGACAGGCATCTGGGCACTTTTTAATATTTTAACAATATTTAGCTTATTGAAATTATTTTCCTGTGTGAAAGGATAGTTCCCTCCTTGTGCATTCATAATGCCAGTGCCCCATGGCAAAATCTCTGGTTACAGGTTTACTATACGTTTTGTAATTTAAAACCAAACTGTCATGCTAAATAAGTAGATGCAATTATTTTGGGGGAAGAAATTCCATAAGCTGCCGGTCGGAAAGGAAAGAAGCAGTGCAACAGAGGAGAGTAATACAACTGATTCTGTCAGAATCTTCTTCCAACAAAGATTGAAAGGGGAAATGTACTGATAGATCAAAATCTCACTCTGCTGAAATCATTTGCAGCTTCTACTTGGTGTCTCTGTGTTTTTTGTTCATCTCTTTTCACTCCTGGTGTTCCAGTGTTCTGAAATGGGCATTCACTTTTCTACTACTTGATTTAAGTGACTCCAGAGTCTGCTGGAGACTTTACCACCATCCCTCGCAACAGTGCGGCTAATATTTCACAGTGTTAACATTGCCGGAACAAACCTAAAGTGTCTATAAACTTGTTGTAAAAAGAGGTCATCTTTACTGGCCAAAGAGATCCCCCTTGTCTGCTGATGTTTCAATTTATTTTAAAGGAAAGGATTTATGGATGCTTTTTATGTAAGCTTGAAGTATAATACATCGAGATGTATGAAATCTGAGCATGTTTATTTAAAAAGAAGATAGAAGGCAAGATTTAATTTTGAAGTAATGGGAGGGAAACAAATTTTGTTTACATGTTCCTCTGGATTGAATATGTACTTTTTTGGCAGGAAGCGAGTACTGTTGCGTAATGAAGAATTGAATTGTGAGGCCAGTTTATAGTGATTAATTGACTATTTAATATTTTATTTGCAAAATGTGACAGATTTCAGAGTTATTGTAATTTTAACTTGGGGATTGTTTTGTAGAGCATGGTGAGTGTGAAGTTTAAAAGTCAACTATCTGCATAATCAGAATTTCTGAGAAGGAATGAGAGCTGGTGTCCTTTAATTGCATAGTAGGTGTTAAAAATTAGACTTCAGTCTGTCATTTAGCAGAGGTTTCTTTCTCTGATGTAGAAGGGCAACACAGGATCATTACCCAGTTTTGATGCCTCATTCATTCCTTCTTGTGAACTGTCTTTATTATTTAATTTTGCTTTCCAAGATCAGTTTTGGGAGATAATGATCTTCCCTTGTGATTTTTTAAAGGAAAAATCTGTTAAACTTTCCAAAAGGAAAACTGAATTGTTGCACTGCAAGACTATATTAATAAAATGGAAACAAATGTACAGTTTTTAAACATGAGGATCTGAGTTCAGAGTTTAGAATTTGAGGAAACCTGAAGATAATCTTCAGTTTTGAAATCCTGGTTATGTGTATTTAATTTCATTTAATTGCTTACCCCATCCATGTTTAAGTGGTTAAAATGTGTACACTTTATTCATGTTTTCAGCATTAAGATACTATTTTTTCCTATACAGTAAAACATACTAAAAATATTTATAGGCAGCCTTGACCAGTTCTTTAACTGTTAAGATATAGTTTGCTCTCTCATGCTTACCACCAATATACTGGTTCACACTACAAATATCTTCTGCTCTCATCCTGTATAAATATCTGCTGCAAAGTTAACAGATATTTTGAGGAGGAACAGGTTCTTCCTTTCTTTTTCTTTCTTTCTGTATCCCACCACAATACTGAATTCTTTATTTTCTTTATAAATTCTTAGGTTGGATTTCACTTCTGACACCTTTGTTGTTGTTTCTGCCTGTCACTTAAAATACATAGTGATTTTGAAATTTTTTTTGGTTACAGATTTAGCTATATACAGAAACCAAATGCTTCCTGGCTGCACTCTTTTTTCCTCTAGTGTCCAACCTTTGTCTTGTGTCCAACCTTCTTGAGCTTTGCCGTTGAGCTTTGTGTTGATGTTCTCTTTAAAATGATATGATGATCTATGGAACTAATTCTGTTAACAGCAGAGGCTTACACTGTGGTAGTCCAAGAAAGAAATGAAGACTTATTTGTGCCGGGAGCTGTACAAATGCATAAAAGGGAGAACCTTGCCTTTTATGCACCTGGTGTTTTGAACTGTACCTCTTACCTTTTTTTCCCTGGTGCCAGAAGATATGTAATGAAGGTGCCAGGGGAGCCTCCCTGGGGAGAGCATTCCACAAGTGGGGAGCCACTGCAGAAAAGGCCTATTTTCATGTTGCCACCCTTTGGACCTCTCATGGAGGAGGCATACAAAGATGTGCCTCAGATGATGATTGCAGGCTTCAGATTGGTTCAAATGGGGAGAGTTGGTGCTTGAGGTCCTGAGTTGTTTAAGGCTTTATAGGTAAAAAACAGCACTTTGAATGGGGCCTGGAAACAAACTGGCAGCCAGGATCCATGTAATATGCTCAAACCATCTTTCCCCAGTGAGCAACCTAGCTGTCGAATTTTGCCCAGGCAATGGCAGTGCCTTCCAAAGCACATGAAGGCAACTTGCTAGCTTAGTGGGTGCAGGACAGGCTTTGTAGCATAGGTTGCTCTGACGGTTCCCTTTCCCTCAGTGTCTGCTGCCTGAGGCAACCTCCTTACTCAGCCTAATGGTAGAGCCAGTCATGTTGCCAGGTGGAACATGATTAAATTAGTTGGGACTTGGCATTTTTAATGAATTGAAAGAGCCATCTCAGGCAGCAAATCCCAGATTTCCTGTCTCCATATCTGTGTGCAGCCGTTAGGTGCAGAAAATGTCCGGTACTGAAATTAACACAGAAACAGGGCTGAGGGGAGGGGAGAAGTCAAATAGAGCTCATATACTTTGTTTTTGATGTGCATTCATTGATGTGTATGGTGATATGACTGACACACACCACCAAATTTGTAGTGTGCAGGTGTAGCTTCAAAATATTCAGTTTGAATGTGGAAGGAGCTTATGGAGACAAGTGCTTCAACTTTTACCCACACCCGCATTGCCACACCACAAAGTAGAACGGAAAGTATGTTAGTAAGAGTGGACCAGGGTTGTGCAGTGTCTGATTTTCAACACTGTAATATATCAGCAGTTAAAACATCACAATATTATGATATATTGCCATTGGAAATTGGAAATTGGGTGTTCGGATGAGGGAAGGAGCAGCCACAGAGATCACACAGGTGGGGGGCATGGAGGTTGGGCATGTGGGTGGGCGAAGGAGTGTGGAAATCAGGTTAGGGCCACACAGGGGCCCACTCCTCTCCTCCTCTGTGCCTCTTCCCATGTTGGGAAGGCGAAGTCCTTCCACTCCTCCATAGACAGAAAAAGGGAGAAGGGAGAAGCAGCCCAACCGCAATTCCTCTTGGGGTGGAGACTTGGAAAGTGGAGGAGTGAGCCGCTGAAGCAGCCCCCTCTGCTTTCCTTCCCACAGGATGGGAAGGGCGGCTGGCTGAGGGTGAGCCACAGTGAATTGGCCGGAGAGGAAAGTCAGGGAGCAGGACATTACAGTTATGGAGAGGCTGGGAGTGGGATGGCTCTGCTATTGGAGGTGCAGTTGCGCGGTTGTGGGGAAAGGGGTGTACAGTTGCTTCACAAACCCAGGCCAAGATGTCCTACATCCCCAATCCCATCCCTCCTGGTTGGTTGTGTTCAAAAGTGCTAATTTTGGACTGGGTGTCCATGTGCTCTCCCTCCCTCCCTTGTGGAGGGTGCTTAGGATAAGTAAACCTAATTGTTTCATTTGGAACCGAACTCTTGCGAGGACTAAGCAGGCAGGCTTCCTGCCTCTAGGGTGTCCCAGGGAAGATACTGAACATGCTCTGCACTCTTCTTCCTTGTTCGAATGCGTTTGTTCTGCTTGTGCCATTGATTCTGCAATGACAACGAGAACAGTTTGGGAAGGAAAGAGAGACTCTTTTTTAAAAAAATAATAAAAAAAGAAACTGGGACTTTATCTAGTCCTGACGTTAAGTAAACTTGAAAGGAACAACGCTGGTTAAGGAATCCTTACCTTGGCTAACCCTCACGGCCTCCCACTTCTTTGTATCTCAAAGGAATTGAATCAATGAGATCCGACTGCTTGTCTGAATAGCAGCCACCTCAGTGTGATAAGAGCTTTCCATTTGAACAGTAGCCCCCCACCCCTCACCGCTTTAGGCTTCGCTGATTTAATACTTCAGGGGGTATTGGTGAATGAGGGAGAGCTTGGCATGTGTGACAATGTTTCTCAAGAGTGGAGCTGGACCACCAGTGGTCACTTTCAGGTGGGCCTCAGGGCTATACCCCACCCACCCCGGCTCTGCCTCCTGGCTTGCCAGCCCAACCCACCTACCAAGCTAGAGCCTTTTGGTTAGACCAGCTCCAGAAGGAAAGGAGGGCACCCTCTAAGGGAAAAGGGCCTGGAAAGAGATAAAATGTTAGCATTTCCTGTCTTTATTACAGGGATTAGAAAGGATAGGGATAAGAAAGGAAAGCTGTTATAGGAAGAAGTAGTCAATGTAAAAGGACCAGGGAGGAAGGATGCATTTTTCTTAGGGTTGTGTCTGTGTTCAATCGGAGTGTGAAAAAACTGGTGAAGAAATCCATAGTTCTTACATCATTTGGTTAAAAACACTTTGAGATGGTTAAAACATTTTGAGAGGCATGCAGGAAGAATTTTTTTTTTAAAAGAGCCTTCACGTAGGGCCTCTGGGCTAAACAATTTCTGAATAAAATGAGGGTGATTCATAATACAGGGAAGTCTCCATTTGTGCAGGGGTTGCGTTTTGACACAGCATATGTATCGACGGGATGAGCATTAGCCCGTCCCCTTCCAGGGCCGAAAACTGTGTTCGCATTGGTGGTCATGCGCATGCTGAACACACACAAAAGTTAGTATCCCCATAGCAAATGCCATCTTAAGGAAAGCTCAGCTATGGAACTCCTTGCCACAAGGAAAATGCTGTGGTTCATAATTTAGCAGTTTCAAAAAGTATATTATGTATCAGTAGAAATTGCTGTCAATAATAAAAATTACCAGCAGATTGTGCCAAAATTTGCCTGCATTTCTAGCATTTTGTGACTTGATTTGGCCTCTTTAATTTTCAGCTGTCTCAAATGAGCTCTTTTAGTAAAAGGTTTGGTAGGCCCTGCTCTGTGATACTTTCTTTTTTCTTTCAATAAAGAAGAAAGAGTTGGAAGGGATCCCAAGGGTCATCTAGCCCAACCCCCCACAACTCAGGAATCTCAACTAAAGCATCCATGACAGATGGCCATCCAACCTCTGCTTAAAACTGTCCAAGGACAGAGAGTCCCCCACCTCTCTTGGGAGTCCGTTCCACCAGAGGCATAGCGTGGTGTGTGCTGTAGGGGCTGTGTCTCCGGACGCAGATTTTGGAGGGGGCATGAAATAGGTGCACCAGTGCAGGTGGCCCAGCCAGCCCTCCTCCCTGGCATTGGAGGAACCAACACCCATGGAGAGGAGTGCTGGGCCACTCCAGCAGTGCGAGTGATGAGGACTGGAATGCCATGACCAGTTCCTTCGGCCATGCACTGCCATCCCAGTGTGCATGACCCCCCCTGTTGTGTGCATACAACCCCCCCGTGCCTTCCCTCCCACACTGGGCACTGGAATTCCCATTCTTCTGCTGCATACCACTGTCAAACAGCTCTTGCCATCCTAAAGTTCTTCCTGATGTTTAGTCAGAATCTCCTTTCTTGTAACTTGAAGCCAGGAGAAAACAAACTTGCTCCCTCTTCTATGTGACAGCTGTTTAGATAACTTGGGGGGAGGGTGCTTTTCATTGGTGAGGTTGGAGGCAGATTCATGGAGCTTTTAAAAAATCTTTTCACATGCCCAATGAACATGTGTGGATTTTGTGCAAGGGAGAGGGGTTTCCTGCTAGCCAGTTTGGAAAATAAAAATATAGATCTCACCCTTTTTAGTCTTGCATGTCAGGGTTTTGTTACCTGCATTTCCGTGTGTAACATGTAGTTCCACTCCTGATCTAGCTTCTGTTGGACTAGTGTCTAGATAGCCTAACACTGCTTTCCACAAACTGGCATAGCTTTAGTTCTAGACCAGGGGTCAGCAACCCGCGGCTCCGGAGCCACATGTGGCTCTTTTACACCTTTGCCACGGCTCCGGGGCGGATACTAGCGAGGGGAGGAGGCGCATTGTGTGCCCCGACACTCCCCACTGTTTTAAATGTCGCAATGGTTTTGCGGCTCCCAGTTGTTTTTTCTTCGGTCCAAGTGGCTCTTTTTGTCTTAAAGGTTGCAGACCCCTGTTCTAGACATTCCGGCTGGGAGTTGGCAGCCTTTGTGTCTGGCTTGCCAGAGCTCCTGCTTTCTGCCATTAGATCTATGTTGCCCTACAACCTTTGCCTATGGATTGCACCCATCTCTGCTTGGGGTCCAGACAGCCCCCCCCCCCAACTTCAACAGATGGTTATTTTTAGGAAGGGAGGAGAATTTAGAGAGTCAAACAGAGCCAGGGCCAAATTGCACCAGTACCTTGAATTAATTATGATTTTAACTGACTTCACAAATTAATAAATTATCAACAAATAAACTCCAAAAATGCCCATCAGGGGAAAAATGCCTCCATTGTCTCACTGCTTCCATGGCTCCTAATTCCTCTCCCCACCCATTACTGGTCTCACAACTGAAAGCTTTAATTTATTCAGCATACAATCTCTTTACTCCACTGCTTTCTGTAATTTATACCTTATACTGCCTGCTGTCTCGAATTATTTAACTCCGTAAGGCATTTAGTGAGAGACTGGGTACAAAATCGCTATGCAGAATAAGGCTTGGTTAGACAGTCTGCCTTTCACATTATTAGCTGGATTTTAAAATATGGCCCTAATCAGATACTCCCAAAGGAACAGACGACAAGAAGAATTACACACCAAGGGCCAGTTTGCACAGTTATTTGCTTCTCCACGCGAATAGCCTGTTCCCAGTCACGTGTATGCAGAGGACCTCATGGAGAAACAGAAGCATAAACTTGGATTTACATGTTTATAAGGCAGATCAGTTTCTGTGACCATGGCAGTTACAAAGAATGCTGCTGTGATCATGGAAATTGTTGCAGGACACAAATAGTTTAGTTCACACTTATGTTTCTTCCTATAATCATGGGCATGTGTATGTTCAAGCATGTTCCATGTTGTGATGCGTCTGCTGACATTGACTAAGAAGTGCTCATATAGACTGAATGTGCTGACCTGGGCATACTGGTCTGTAATCCTTAGCAGTTGCCAGTCACCAATCTGCAACCACTACAAGAAGTGTGCAGGGATGTTGGGGACATTCAAATGTAGCTCCGCTGTGAAGCAAGATTACATGGCCATCTGTAGTTGGTGGTAAGTTTTGGATGCTATGAATAGCAGCAGACATGTAGACCAGGGGTCAGCAAACTTTTTCAGCAGGGAGCCGGTCCACTGTCCCTCAGACCTTGTGGGGGGCCAGACGATATTTTGAAATATAGTAATAAATGAACGAATTTCTATGCTCCACAAATAACCCAGAGATGCATTTTAAATAAACACACATTCTACTCATGTAAAAACATGCTGATTCCCAGACCACCCGTGGGCTGGATTTAAAAGGCGATTGGGCTGGATCTGGCCCGCGGGCCTTAGTTTGCCTACCCATGGTGTAGACTGAAGGTTTGACTCACAGAGTGCAATCCACTTGCACATTATTGCACATTTTCTTGCACTTTCCTCATTGAAATGAGTAGTAGCTGCAAGATAATAGGTTGTTGCAAGAAAGTTTTAGAAACAGAGTTTATTTCAGTATGATGGTTTGACCAATTAGCAGAGATAGGTTTGCTGGGAAATCTTAATTATTGGGAGGGAGTGGTGCAAATTTGCAGGACTGCAGCATGTTATGAGAAATTGATTTCATGTTGACATCATTTGCACTGGTTTCATTGTGGCCACTATGTTGGCTTGATACATCTAAATGATTAAAAAAAGAGGATGAAGGTGGGGTGGGTGGGACACAGGGAAGGAGAGACAGAAGGGTGCTTGTGTATTTGTCTTGTGCTTTTCATTCTTGAGGGTGGTTTGGGGATCCAACCCTGGAGCTGACATTTGGCTTCTGCTAATTTCTTGCCCATACTCTTATTCTATGAATTCTTGATCAAATACCCCGCTTGAGGCATCCGGGGAGGATTAAGAAAGGGTGTATCTACCAAAGCTTTCTCCTCTCCCTTCCCCAGCTGCTTCTTGCTATTTGCAGAGCCTGTTTTTCAATGTTGCTCAACATTTCCCGAGGTGTCTGGAATTTGCTTTCTGCCTATTTGGGCCTTCCTCTAACATTTGCACACCTTGAGTGCCTTAAGCTTTGCACACAGGACAACATTGTGAAGCCCCACAGCTTTCCCCTACCTCCTCAGCTTAGTGACACGATGCAAGCAACAAGCTCAGTTCCTTGTGCAAGTAGAGGACCCTCTTCGTTACCTGAAAGATTTCATAGAATAGAATGGTACCACAAGGTTGGAAGGGACCGCAAGGTTCATCTAGTCCAGCCCCTTGCAATGCAGGAATCTTTCACCCAATGTGGACTCGAACCCACAACCCTAAGATTAAGAGTCTCATTCTCTGCCAACTGAGCTATCCCAGAAGGTTTCAGAAATGGCATGAACAGGCATCCACTGGGGATGGAATTGTATGAAGAATATTCTATTTGCAGGCAGGAGGTTGACTTGATAGATTCATGCCATCTTAAGTTTAGTCTCTTATTTTCCCTCTTTGGTTCGGTGGTGCTCATCATAAGGTGTGTGTGTGTTGTGTGGGGTGCACGTTAGAGTGGAGAGCCAAAAGATTTCATTCTGAACTTAACGTGAGATAACTTTGAACATTCAGTTGCTAACACAGTTTATTGGATTTTAATACTTGATTGTAGAATATCACATTACCTATTTTGTGTCTTAGTATCCATGGCCATGTGACAGTTTTCTGTGGTCCCTGTTTGGTACTATAGGGTACCGTGCAGAGCTGGGAGCATGAATTAGTCCCTGGACTAAGCAGGTATCATTTTCCTGGAATCTTTCTATGCTGATTAGGAAAGAAGGCTGCCAGTCAGACTGTCCAAACCACAAAGGGACTGGTTGGTCAAGCCGAAGCACATTTCCATGTCTGCAGCACAGATTTCGTCTGTTGAAGCCACCCATGAATGTGATTTCTGCAAAACGGAGACTTTTATTTCCTGGGACCAACCAGGCAACAAGAGTTTTTCTTAAGCTGTCCTTGTAGGCAAATCTAAACGTGCTGCTGACTGCCTACTGAGGCTAATTTTTAAAACAGAAAATTTAAGCAAGTGTTAGCTGTAGGTCCCCATTGAGAGCGTACATTGAAACACTGAGCCAAACAGCTTTTGAATCTGCCAAGACCTATTTGCAACTTTGTACACCCTTTGCTGTAGCCAAAAGCATTGCTCTATATACAGAATAGGGACCTCCTTCCGGCCCCTGGCCTATTCTAGGCTTCAGTAAGGAGATACATAAACATACAGCCTGTGGGTCTCAAATTCAGAGCATGCCACAATAACGTAGGTACAGTGGTACCTCACAAGACGAATGCCTCGCAAGACAGAAAACTCGCAAAACGAAAGGGTTTTTCGTTTTTTGAGCTGCTTCGCAAGACGATTTTCCCTATGGGCTTGCTTCGCAAGACGGAAACGTCTTGCAAGTTTGTTTCCTTTTTCTTAAAACCGTTAATACAGTTGCGACTTGACTTCGAGGAGCAACTCATAGCACGCGGTGTGGTAGCCTTTTTTGAGGTTTTTGAAGACTTTGGTGATTTTTGAAGCTTTTCCAAAACTTTTCCGACACCGTGCTTCGCAAGACGAAAAAAACCGCAAGACGACAAAACTCGCGGAATGAATTAATTTCGTCTTGCGAGGCACCACTGTAGTTCTAAGGTGCTCAGCTCAATATTTTATTTCTGAATTTGCAGCATTAGCTACTTTTACATATCACTAGCATTTGAGAGTGGGGATATTTAGAGGTTCTAGCTCTGTACCTCCTTGATCAAGGTTTGTGGTGGTGGTGAGGCATTCCTGTGGAATGTTATCAGAATGTACTGTCAGTTCTAAGAGCCTGCATTTTCAACCTGCTAGCATAGCCAGAGCAAAGTTTGCTCTGGTGTATTCTGGGAAGGATAGGTCATTTGCCATGTCTTGAACCCAGTGATCCAGACTTTGCAGACCATTCTGGAAGAAAGAACAAAAAAGAGCCATATTAGACTACGAAAATGTTGAGTGTAAGGGACAAATCTGGACTACTTTGTTTTAAAAAGCTAAACAATCTCATTGGAAGAAGATAATTTCGTGCATGCTTCTAGCTAATGACCTTAATTGGCCATTATCACAAATTTTGGCCTTCTCTCTTCCCTTCTCCCTTGTATTCCTGCTTCCTTTTCATTTACTGTTTTCAAAACATCTCTGCATCCAACAGCAACAACCTCCCTCCCAGAAATGCCTGTCCCAAGATTCAGGTTACTACCTCTTCACACTTGTTCACTTTCTAAACCTCTTTTCCCGTTTCCTGCTTTCTTGCCATTCCTTGGTGTTGGTAGGAAAGCAACAACAACAACAACAACATACTAGCTTTCCTCTCCCTGGTGTGTGTGTGTAGTTGAAGCAGGGGTTGGAGGGCAAGGTTAAGGCATGAGACTGAACTGGCTAAGAGTTTTTATTAAAAAATGGGGATCAGGCATTGCTTCTTCATCCCAGAAGCCTAGGACTAGGCCAGTCTACAGTCCAAGGCTTCAACATCCAGCTTATGTTTTTTGCTATCCACGCTTTTGCATATATCTCCCCACTGCTTTCAAGTTCTGGATAACTTGAAAGCTCATGTGCCGTTTTGCCGGTTTCTACTGTTTTCATGATTTATCCTGAAACAAGCAAAAACAAAAACAAAACTTAACCTGCTTGCGTTTTGTGGTTGGGGCTAAACAGTGTGTGAAATCTGTGAAACCGAGGAAAAGACCAATCATTTTAGTTAGTCCTAGTAAAGGTCTGGCCAGTCCAACTGTGGATTTTGTCATTTTAAAAATAAAAAGAATTCCTCTTTGGGTTTTGCAAAATGCAGTCCCTTCTGGCTGGCCCCTAGTTCTGCTGCTGATGGATTTGTTTGAGAAAAGAGCTGTGCTGGCATCCGCCTTTACTGACCGTGCCCCCCTGGGAAGGCAGCTCTTATTGGAGCATGGTACTTCGAGGGGCTGCTGTTGTGCTGAAGGGGATGGAGAAGGACCCCTCCCCTCCTGATCTCTCTCTCTCTCTCTCTCTCTCTCTCTCTCTCTCTCTCTGTTTCTGGAAAGCTGCGCCTGGTGTGTTCACCCTGTTCTCTTTCCTTCCCAACAGAGTTCATTGAAAGTTCGTCTCTAACCAACGAACAAAGTGGCTCAGAACTTTTCCTGACTTCTTACCCTTTGTCCCCTTCATTCCATTTAAGACAGGAATCCAACACTACCAGGGGGTGGCAGACGGGGCATGGTTTTTGCATGAAATTATACCCCCTAAAAAGAATATAGCAGCATACTTAAAAAAAATAATAATACTGATCGGCACACACTACCCAACACCCTCATTCTGAAACTGTAGTGTGAAGGGTGGGATGGTTTTGCAAGTTTTCAAAATGTTAAGATGGAAGAGATTTTAAGGTTGGAGCAGGAACTGAATACTACCTGGGAACTTCAGTTGGCAATGAAGTTTGTTTATATAATGATTTATCTTGAAGCAACCAAAGAAACTTAACTTGTTTATGTGGATGGGGTTAAATAGAGGGTGAAGTCTGTTGAAACTGAGTAAGATTCCCTGGATAATTGAGAGGCTTGTGATTTTCATCTTTCGGCAAGTAGTTTGAAATTGTGTAAGGAAAACCAATCAAACACCGCATGTAACCACGATGTTGGCAGTTCATAGTAAATACACTCTTGTTAGGGGAATCTGTTGGGGTGGATTCAGGGCTAATGGGGCAGGGGAGCAGATACTTGTTTTTATCTGCAAGCTCCCTTAATTCCAGTCAGGGGAAAGGTGGGATATAAATAAAAATATAATAATATATAACAAACAAACAAACAAACAAATAGCTATCTAGCAGTCAAACCTCTGTTACCACAGTCTGTTCTAAGCACCTGACTGCTGGAAAAAGCAGAGAGTAATCATATGAAAGACAAGCACTACTTTGAATTATTTGTCTTCTACTAGAGCCCAGGTACAGTTTAACTAGCATGGCTGCCACATTCTCCAAATTTCCAAAGTACATCCAAAATACAGATGTAGCAATTAATGTCTGCTTATACTGTATAGCCAAGTAAAATCCTGCTCATATACAACATCTGGTGCAAGGTTTCTATTGTTCACTCTTTGGAGGAAAATGGTGGTGATATCCTTATTGAAACAGAGATCTCTTTCAAGACATCCAAGCAATGACATAGGCCTCCGTTTGTTCATAAGTATGGGTATGGACAACGGTAGTCTTCTGACTCCTAAATATGCCCTTGTGTTGTATTGCTGTAACTATATCTGCAAGCCATTTTTCACTTACCTAAATGTCCCTTCTCAGCCACCACTTTGCTCTTCACCAAAAGTTTAAAAACTTCCATAAATTAGGGTCTGCAATATTGCTTCAACGTGCTTTTAATAATGTGAAAAGACACACACTGATACCTTGATGCATAAGGGCTAGAGTCCCCATTTCCTCAAGCATCTTCCTACAGTTGCAATCACCATGGCCTGATTTATATGTGGTGGAAACCACTGAAGAGCACTTGCCTACGTGGTTAGCACACTTTGAAAATCTTACTTTCAATTTGAAATATTGGGATAAAGTGGGGTGGGAAGAACCACAGAGAGTTGAGGTGTAGTGAATAAGTGGGGAGAGCTAGGTTCAGATTTCCATGTTGCTAGGGCTGAGTGCTCTTGGGCCAATCAGCATCTATCAAAAGGCCTTCGCATTGTTGGGCACCTGTCAAAATTTACACCTCTGTCGTTCAGGGTGGTGGGTAGAGACTGATACCAACCCCCTGGCCTTGGTGTTTTTCATACTTGCTACAGTTGCTTGTTCATCTATGCTCTCCAACTAAGCAAACAGTGAAAGGAGCAAAGAGCACTCTCTTAGTCCACACACCCTCATTCATAGAATTGTAGAGATGGAAGAGATCCCTAGGATCATCTAGTCAGCCCCTTGCAATGCAGGAATCTCAACTAAAGCCTCCATGACAGATGGGCATCCAACCATCATGTATGTCCTCTTCCTCACCCCCCCCATGCTGTGATAGGTTGCCTCTTCCTTAGGTGGCATATTTTGCCTTGCTTGTCTGACAGACTTGTCCATTTACATAACCCTTCTCCCTCATTTTAAATGAGGATCAAATAAGTGGCAATGTTTCTTGTTTTCCATCTGTAAATCTGCCCCTGCTTTCTTACTTTCTGCAGATTCCACACCCACCCACCCAGCACACACATGGTGCTTTCAAACGTGAGATGTACTTTCTGCCAACATTTCACCTCTAGCAGATAACTTGCTGACTGGAATACTGAGTGCCTTGGAGCTAAATATCAAACACTTTCCCATCTGCCACAGTTGTGGGCAAGGGGATCGAGAGGTTTGGGACAGACTGATTTGATGGTTTTAAAATAACTCTCTGGGCATTTATATACAGTGTGGCTCAAGACTTAAGCATTGCTTCCTGTCTCTTAATCTGTCTCTTGTAGTTCTCTTTGATATTTGAGGGAGTTTTGATGTCCCCACTGTGGAAGGATGTGTTGACCTCCACAGTCACTTACAGGCTTATTGTTAAAACCGTGTTTATGGAAGACAATCTTACTCGGCTACGAGTGATCGCCAAAGAAGAAGAAGGGGATCTAAAACAATGTCCTTTATAATGGCTGTATTTTTAAAACTGATTTTATTCTTGTTACTTTGTTGTTGGCTTTTATTTGTGAATGGCCTTGGTTTTTCTTCTCAAAATGGTGTATATAAATTCTGATGGTGATGAGATGATTTAGCAGAAGTGCTGTGATTCTGCTGCTGCTTCCTTCTCCAGTAACTAATAGCTGGACACTGTAACATATTTAACTTCATGTGGATAGAAACCCATGTCAGGAATATATGGTTTCCACAAATAGTTTATGGTCCATTTGGAGCACTGGCCAATCTTATTGAGCTACATTGTTGCTCTGAAGCTAGCAAGGCCAGAGCTCAGGGATGATGGGAGTTGTAGTCCAACAACATCTGGGGACCCACAGGTTGAGAACTGCTGCTAGGAACTGAGAACATGCTCTCTTGCAGCTGCACATAGTGAAAGTCTCATAGTAGCGAGGTAGCTTCCTTTCAAGAAAGCATGTCTGCCTTTATTGATCTTCTCATTTAGAAACTCCTGACAAGCTTCCAAGGACGTTTGCTGACAAGTAATGGAACCAAAATTTGAATATGGATTGTTGTTGAACTTGTAATGCTTAACTGTATTATGAACTGAACAGAATTTCCCCCCAAAGTTCTTCTCTAGCTCATAATGTTAGCTGAGATTCTGCACATGTGCAGTGAAATTTCACCCTCATTTAAACACCTCACATACTTCTGGATATAGCGTTTGAGAGGCCATTGGATTTAGCCAAGCTAAAATTCTAAGGGAACAATATGATAACATGTGCATGGTGTCAAATTGCAAGCAGAAGAGAACTCTGAGAGAACAGATGTGCCCCCCACCCCAATTAATCTACCAATAAAGCTAGTAAAAATTAAACCAATTGTGCATCAGGCCAATGGGAAGTTGGCCCATTACTATTGCAAACCTTGTGCCAAACACCCCAAATGAGAAAATGCCATAATGCAACTAGAAATATTAACTACTGCTGTTACTACTGCTGCTGCTGCTGCTATGACAGCAGCTAACAAATTCCTGTGTGGAAGACTGGTATGGATGTACTAACTATCAGAGCTAAGGGAAATTGGAATAGTAATGGTAGAATAGCTGTAGTGTGAACAGGACTGATCAAGTATTGTTCCATCTTTCCTTTAGGGAGGTTGTCAGGTGAGTCTTCTCCATTATCTATTTTTGTTGCTTCAGAGCTCCTGAATTATTTCTTTGTGCATTGCTCCCCATTCAAGCCAGTTTATCTCCATTTTTCACTGCAACACTAGGTAAACCTTTGCCTGCTGTTTTTACAGCGTTCCCATCTACAGGCTTATGCACAAACTTTTAATTCTGACTCCTTCTTGGGGTGGGGTTAATAGTTCAAACTCATCATTTTTCTTTGGGGTTGAAGTTGTACAAAAGCAGCCCGCTGTGAGATTGTTCTGGCGTCTTGGCCCTTGGCAGTTTGGGGGAGTAGGGCAAACAGAAGAAACGGAATCTGAAACTCTCTAGGGAAACTTGGGAAGGGTCTTATAGGCAGTAGGCTGACCTGAGAACTCAGAGGAAGCCTGGTTTTTCATCCAAATTGCATTCCAGCGCAACCCAAATAGCTTACCTTTTTGGGACCTTGTGAGTGGGAATTGTCTGTTTCTTTAGAAAGGACAGCTAGAGCCTTTGTAAAATTTTTGGTCATATCTTAACGTATTATAAATAACATCAAATGGGAAGAATGGCCAGCTTAAACCACACAATGCTTTTTTATTGTAGAAATTACATAGCAAGGAACATCTTGGATGATTCCTGTAATTAGCCCACTCTTTGCATAAAAACTATCTGTAGTGAAGAGAGACTCTAATGAGAAACATCCTTATACTTCCATATTAGTATTAATGGGACATATACTTGAGCACTGATGGAACCAATACAGAACTAGGAGGATTTTATTTTTCAGTTTTGGACACTTGCTGAATTGCACTCTAAATTTTTAATGTGAATTGTCAGGTTAATTAAAACTTTCTTAACAAGACTGATAAGAGTTGGTTCAGACAAGGAAGAAACACTGTATTAATAGATTACGGCAACTTACGCTGCAATCCAATGTGAGTTTCTTCAGGGGAAGACAGACACTTTTTTTAAAAAGCACAATGGGGACTCTTGGAAGCACCCTCATGGCTTTAAGCCAAACTGTGCCTTTCAGCTCCAGCTCTGGGGGAAATGGTTTTGTAAATGTGAAGCACTAGCTGGATCAGTGCTGATATGCTGGGCCTGTATGTTGTCATCCAAAATCAACTCCATCCCCCAATTTCTGTAGCACTTTTTATAACGCTCCCCCCAAATTATTATTAAAATGAATAAATTATTATTTATTACTAAAATGAGAAAGGGATAAACAAATGCATTAACATTATTTTGGAACTTAGCTTAATAAAAGCACAGCCTGAAGCATGGGGGAAGGCTATTGGCTGGGCCAAAATTTGATTTTCTAGTATGCATGTAATTTCATTTGTGAAACTGGGAAGAAGTTGGGCCAATCTTACAGCCAAGGGACTCACTGTTAGCTTTCTTTTTATGTTACGCCTATCTTCACTCTTCAGTACTGAGCTGACATAGAGGCTAAGGTTATGCTGATGGTTAAGTTGGTGCATCTTTATTTTTAAGTTTTGCATAGTGTATTTTTAGAAGGGCATCTCCTTTTAAAAAATCAATTCCTTAAGAATACTAGATGACTGCAATCTTCCCAGTTTGTTTCACCATCTTGCTTGTTTGAACTTTTAACAGTGGATTGGAAAACATACTGCCCGCACATCCTTTGCCCTTCATTGTCAGCTGTTCCTCAGCCTCCACATCTGTCTGCTTCTCCTTCTGCTTTTAGGAGTGCTACCCAAAGGAGAGTGCACTCACTTGGGCCCTCAGGCCAGGCCCCAGGCCTCCCACCAGCCTTGATCCTCCTTTGTACTCTCCTCCTTGCTCAGTGCTTGGGTAATTGTCGCCTCTTGTCGGCTAATGATTATAAATTAGTAGCTGAGTGTATAAAAAGTTAATGAAGTTCTTGTGAGTGGAACCATTATGAGTTTCCAGGACAGCACGTAAAGGTTGGCTGCTCCAGTAAAAGAAGCCAGTTGAAGTTTGGCCTTTCAAGGTATAGAGTTTCAGCTTCTCTTGTTCTGGATTTCCTGGAGGAAGCCAAGCCTGCAGAACTCCAGCGAGTTTGGAGCAATGTGATGCCTGCTAGTTTTGCTGCTGAAAGAGATGCCTGAAACGAGACCTGTGCCTTGCCCCTCCTCAGTGAAATTAAATTAAGTTAACAAAGCAATGAATAATAGGAAAATGGGCTTTGTTTCTAAAGTATTGAAATAACAAAATGAATGACAGTGGAAAACTATACACTTTGTTAAGTCAGTTACTACAGAGAAGGCATGGATATTACAGCATTTTGCTTTTGTGAATTGCTTGTAAGTTTTTACAGGGCTGCCTCTGTCTCCTCCTCCCTCTCCCCCCCTCCCCTACCCACGCATGTATGCACACTGATGGCTCATCAGGGTAAGGCCTGGAATGCTTCAGTACCAGGGTGCCATGTGAAGGTGCCGATCTGTATAGAGACTGCATTATCCCATGGACTTGGTACATGTTTCTGTAAAAAATAATAATACATACACAATATACTTGTACATGGTTTTTGGTCTCTGAATTCATTAAGGTATTAGAAAGAACACAGATTAAAACTATCAAATGGAAGAATGAAACCTCAGTTTCTTTAATTCCAATTTCCTTCTCCTTGCTGTACCCCAGCAAGGAGCCATTTCCTCTCCCTCTCCCTCAAGAAATTTTTGATGCATTACTTTCATGACTTCTTACCTCCCTGCTTTTTTTGCAGTGTTCTTCGTACCTCTCTCTCCTCCTGCAGCACCAGTGAGCATGTGTGAAGTAACTGGAGCAGGATTGGAAGCAAAGTGCCAATTGTTTCAGCAGCATGCACTGGCATGTTCACATCACTATTCTTTATTTTAACTATGTTTTAATATGATGGGCAAACTATCATGGTTGAGCTTCTTAAACCACTATGGATTGAAATAGAAGTCTTTTCTTTTACCAACATAGGTTTTCCAGGACCTTACTTGAGAGATGATGCTTGCACCTTTAAATTACATGAACCGTTGAGCAAAACTGCAGCAGGTCACAGTGCCTTCCTTCACTTCTGCTCATCCTTCTACCTCACTTGCTGTGCTTAACAATATTCTAATTTTGCCCCACAGCAGCCTTGATGATGGGGGAAGCCATAGCTGTCTCCATCCTGCCTCAGTGTTTTGGAGTATTTTAAAGCATAGTGGGAACCAACTGCTAAGTGAAGTGACTGTAAAGGTTGCTTCCTTTTAATCTGTGTGTATTGTATAAACTTATATTTCTTCTTTTTAAGCAAGGTATCAGTCCTTATGGATTCTTGTTAACATATGGAAAATGCCATGGAGACTTGGGAAGGGCTTCTCTCATTCAGGGGCCAAAGTGTTTTACTTGGTCACTTCCTTGTTTACCTTGATGTAGAAAAATAGCTAAAGGAGCTGAAAACCAAGACCAAATAAACCAAATGAAGAGAACCTATAAGCGTTTTCCTCAATTTGCCTTTAGTCTGCTCTCTTTTTAATTCACTTCTCCCATTATTCCCCTTCTTCAAATCCTTTCTTTCCTTTCTGTCAAATAAAGCATTTTTCTTTCCTCCCTGCACTGCCCATTACCTTTACACCCAAAAATTTACCTTATTTTTGTGATTGTATCCATGTATTCTTTTGTAATTGTAACCAAGTGTGGTTTTTTTATAATTGTATCCAGGTAATTTTAAATTGTATCTAGTTTTGTTTTTGTTTTTTCTCTTGTAATTGTGTCTTTACTCCTTGTAAATGTGAATCCTTACTGTGACCCTCATGCAATTGCTACATTTGGCGCCTTTGCAAATGGCATTAACCCCTTTGTATCCTTGTGCCTTATCAGTGTTTGTTCAATTTCTCAATGATTGCAACTACTTTTAGGAATATAAGAAATGGAACCCATGTATTCAAATTGCATCACTTTATTGTAACGATGAAAGTATAAATGTTATTTTTAGCCTCAGCCTAATCACTTCCACTCAGCTCCCCTTCCTCCTTTCGTAAAGTGCCAGACGACCAGATCCATCTCATTTGCCATCCTTTCCTGGATTTCTAGGCATGACCTTACTCGTGTAGATAAGATTTGCACCCTACTTTGTATCTTGCACCCAAACCTCCCTTTTGCACCCTGCACCCATGTACCTCCCCCTTGTAAATTGACGAACCTCTGATGAAAAAGACCACCCACAATTGCGACTATAAAATTCTGGACTTGCCTTTGGACAGGGTTCCTCATACCTTTTGTCACCTTTGCGTCGGGAACCCGGTTGCAACCGAATAAAGGATCTTTGCTCTTAAAAAGCCGCTTGCTTCTTTCTCTCCTTGGTTGGACATCACCCGTCTTCTTCAACCGTAGCAGAGCCTTTTGGGGCTCCGAACCCAAATTCTAAGTGTTTTGCATCAACCTCACGTTTATTCTTTTGTGCATGTGAGTGATTCTGCTAATATAGAATCCTGTCTCTAAGAACCCTTCTGTTATTAGTCTATTTGGGAGAATCTGAAACTCAAAAACAAAATATTGCCTTTATTAATTAACACAGTTCTAGTATATACGTACTGTATATACTTGAGTATAAGCTGACCCAAATATAAGCCGAGGCACCTAATTTTACCACAGAAAACTGGGGAAACTTATTGACTTTAGTATAAGCCGGTTCACCACACCACAAACCTGGTGGTGGTGGCAGCGGTGGAGGAAGAACAAGCAGCCCGAAAGGACCCTCACTCGAGCATAAGTCGAGGGGGGCTTTTTCAGCATTAAAAATGTGCTGAAAAAGTCAACTTATACTCGAGTATATACGGTAAGTTGCTAACCTGCTAAATCCCCAGTAGCAGACGGGGGCGTGGCATGGTGGGATTTACCTCACCTCCTGGCTGCTTACTGGGAGGGTTGTTGGTGCTGTGCAAACACACAGCTGGGTACACCTTATTGGCTCGGGAGGTGTGTTTGCACAGCACAGTTCTCCCCACCATCATGGCCCTCCCACTCTTCCTCCTGGTAAGCAGTAGTGACTCAACTGCTGGGAGGTCAGGTGAGTATCGCTGTCCTACCGCACCGTCCACTGCTGCCTATCATAAGAGTTCAGTCTGGGCAGCTTCTTCTTTTTAAAATTAAATACCATATCACATTTTTAAAAATTGCAGAATTTGGAAGCCTTTTAATATTGATCACACATTGCTCTGGTAACCTTCCACCTTTGACTTTTCTGAGACTCCCAGATATGCAAAGAAGAGAGAAAAGGGTTATTTCACAGCCAAATCAAGGAGGGGAATTCCTGTGTGTGTGTGTGTGTGTGTGTGTGTAGTTAGATGAGAGAACTGAATTGTCTTGCTCAGGCCACATTACGCTAGCCTGGCTGCTTCCTGTGTAGTTTAGGGAGCTTTTTTTGAAAGTGGGCTTGGCTATTTTTATTAAAACTCATGTACCAGGGGTAGGGAACTGCTGGCCTTTAGACTGGAATTGGCCTGCCCAGCCACCTACCAAATTTACCTGTGGTAGTGTTGATTGTGGAACTATTAATGGCAGAGATGGCTTTTTGCTAAAGGAAAACACAAGACTGGGGCGGGGGGTTAGTACTGGGGTGGTTTTTTTCTATATTGATGCTGGAGAAAAATAAACTAAGTCTAGCTGCACAGAGTCCAGCAGAGTACCGGTTTGGTTTTTTTGCAGAGACATGTCCAACAACCCTTACAATTACAAATACTAAATACCATGTGAAATACTACACACACACACACACACACACACAACCCACACACAAATACTATGCTAAATATTGGTGAGCAATTTCATTCGTGTTGGGGCCGGAATGATGAGAGTGTCTGAGGGCATAGTTATGAATTCATTTGATTTTACATTAGTTTCTTGTCCAGTTAACGTAAGTGTATTTTGATCATCAAAAAAGCAAGCAAAAGCTCAGTTAATGGGTGTGGTGTAAGTTTGTGTGTGGAGTGGATATTGGATCTCCTAATAATGAATATAATATTGAACTTGCTTATGAATGTGATTTTTCAAAATTGCTAGCTGATTAGTTTTTAATGCAACTGCACTGGTTTCTGATAACACTGGGCAACAATTTTTTACTTTTTGAATGCTGTCTAGATTTCTACAACTGATTTAGGGTATTTTTGCACTGCTGAATCAGGAAATGGCATCCGTTTCTCTCCATCAGGTCAGGTTTTTGTGCTATGTTGATTTGAAAAAAATCAGATCTTGTGACAAAATCAATTACATTTTTGTGGCATTATCAGCTGATTTTTGTCAACACATATCATCCTAAATGTTTTTAAGAGAAAAAGAGTTTTTCCAACAACATATATTGATTACCTGATAGAAACATCGATTACTGTAAACTGAATGGTGGGAATTGATAAAGGTAAGTCCACGTAAATTGCATGTTGCTTCAACTTTTTTCAAACATCAGGGCTTGAACTTCCGTTTCTTGGAACTCCTGGAATGCTCAGCGGCAGGGAGGTCTCTCTTCAGAGTCCAACAGTAGTCAGCCATCATGACTGCGTCCCAGCGACCCTGATACCTGGTCTCCATCTCTTTCATGTCCTGATGGAATCTCTCCCCCTGCTCGTCACTCATTGAACCCAGGTTCTCAGGAAACCGGTCCATATGTGAAAATAGGTATTGCATCTTGATGCTCATGTTGCAGCCCAGGTTTCTGAAAGCAGTCAGCATGTTGTTGACAAGTTCTGCGTAGTTTCTGGCCTTATTGTTGCCAAGAAAGTTCTTCACTACCAGAACAAATGCCTTCCACGCTTCCAATTCCACTTTGTTCATTGAGTTTCCGAACTCTGGATCTCTGATGAGCTGACAGATCTGAGGACCGTCAAAGATGCCACCTTTCAACTTCTCCATGATCAATCCTGGAAAAGCCTGGCACAAGTAAGTGAAGCAGTCACCATCCTTGTCCAGAGCCTTGGTGAACTGCTTGATTAAGCCGAGCTTGATGTGCAGCGGTGGGAAGAGTATTCTGTCTCTGTCCACCAGAGGGTCGTTGATGACGTTCCTTTCTTTGCAAGGCACCAACTCCTCCCGCACAGGCCAGTCCTTCTTCGTGTAATGCTGAGCACGGTCCCTACTATCCCACACGCACAGAAAACATGGGTACTTGGTGAAGCCAGATTGTTGTCCCAACAAAAAGTTCACCATCTTCAGGTCAACACAAATAAACCACTTATGCTGATCATAACCAATTTTCTCCAGCACATACTTCACCGCTTCATAGTTCTCCTTCAGTGTACTCGAGTGAGCCAGGGGTATAGAGGCAAACTGGTTGCCGTTGTGTAGCAGAACACATTTCAGTGATCGCTTGCTGCTGTCAATGAACAGTCTCCAATCTTTGGGTTCGTACTGTGGCACTCCAAGGTTGAGCAGAAGCTGAGCAATATCTGCACAGTACACCAAGTCCTTCTCTTCCGAGAAAAACAGAGGTACTCTTGATGCCTGTTGCGGAAGAAGCTGATGCGAGCACTGTCAGAGAGGAGGTTTTTTTCCTTCAATCTGGATGCCAACAGTTCGGCAGAGTCCTTTGACAATTCTTCGTGGGACGGCTGCCCCATTAACTTAGTTTTGATCCCCCAACTTTATGCTTTGCTGCACCAATTTATGGAAGATTTCGAGGTTTTATGACTTCAAACTGATTCCTTTTCGACATAATCACCCAGAACTATCGGACCTGAATACTTCTTGTCATTAAAATAATCATTTCCAATCAAAACAATTATTTGACATGGCATTTTACCCCCACCAACTTCTAAAATGCTCCACACAAGCGTACATGTGAACAAAAATGTAAAAAAAAGACATGTGGCCATAGCTCAAAAACTTGACCTGATTGAGCAAAACCAATGTGATTTTTGGATTCAGTGCATCAGATTTGTCCTAAATCAACTGAAAAAACGCAGACAACAAATTTGTTGTTGACCAGTGTAACCATAGCTTGAAAAATGCAGCTGTTGGCTTTGGCCCCACCTACTTTTGGCATGTAACCACCAGAAGGTCTGCCAGAAAAGGCTTCCCCACCTCTGACATGAATTCCTCCATCAGTTAGCAGTGCCAACATTTTCATCTGGCCATTCCACACTGGGACAGTGTGAGTGTACAGCCTTGCCTCTGAGATATTAACCAGAGCAGTGGCACTTCTGCAAAACCAATACCTTGGCCAAATGCCAACTTCAATCTCCCCAATTTACTCTGTCAGATTCCCACTGCTGCTTTCAGGTGGTTCTCCTACAGTTGTTCTAGCAACATTGCACATAGTTACACACAGCTGTCTTGCTTCTTCCCAGAGGTGGCTACAGTTGGACTCATTTTAGGTAGTTGTGTGGCGAAGAGATGGTTATGTTTCTCCAGCCCATGGACTTAATAAGAATATGAGTTCAATTCCACAGTTACGAAGGAGGTTCTCACAATGTTTGTTCTGTGCTTTAGTAAATACAATGCAAGGATGATGGATAGAGAATCTGCCTTATATGCAGATGGTTCTAGGTTCAGTTCCTGGCATCTCCAGGTAGCTTTGAGGAAAACTCCTGCCTGAAACCCTGGAGAGTCACTGCCAGCCAGTGTAGACAATGTTGAGCTAGATGGGCCAATAGTCTTACTTCCTTTGTTCCTGTGAGGAGGCCTTGCTCCCTGTTTCGCCAGAGGATAGTTTCTGACAACAGTGGTATGTTTAGTTGGCAGGACTCATTTACTAGGGGAAGTGCAAGGGCAAATTAGAAGCAATATGACATTAACTCACCTGAGTTTTCTGAACTCTGAAGACACACTCTCAGGGCTAGCCCAAGACATTTTGTCACCAGAGGCAAACCACAAAATGGTATCCCCCCTCCCCACCAGGGAAGAATGGGTGAGTGAAGATCTACATCGGGAACAAGGGAGTGGAGTGAAGATCTACATGAAGAACAAAGGAGGGGAAAATCAAATCAGCCTTATCCAAAGGTTGAAGTGGAAATCAGAGGCCATCACAGTGGGGGTGGGGGGAGAAGGGGCCTGCTCTGAATCATGATTGGTGGATGTAGAGCCCAGGAGCCCACCATTTCCTTCCTAGGGGTGGGAGGAGACCAGGAGTGCCTCCTGTTCACTGAGAAGCCACTGTGGAGGCGGCCTGGGAGGGCCTCCGAGGAGGCAGCAGATCTGGCCTCCAAAGAGCGCACCACAGCTGTCGCTGCAGCAGCGGTAGCAGCAGCGGGTGCTGCATTCCTTGGAGGCTGGATCTGCTGCCCCTGCGGATCCTGCCGCTGAAGGAGGTTGCTTTACCTTGCCTCATGGGTGGGCCGGCCCTGAGCACTATTTTACAGTTCAGAAAGGGACAAAGAGAGTGCAGGTGAACATTTCCCCTGCACATTGTTTTTTCCTCAATCCACTCTTTAAAGCTGTTTTTCTCCTAGCAGGAGTTGCTTTTGGTTGCAGTGTCAAGGGGCAGGGGGGAGATGAAAAAAGCATTTTCAGGAGGAAAAGAATGGGTAAGCTGGGCAAGGGATGGCTTCAGTTCCTTGCCACCAACTCTGCTTTAAATTTCCACTCTGCCATGTTAGGATTTGGTGACACCCTGCTCCTGATTCCAGGGTCTTTTATTTTGCATAGGACTTCATTGGAAAGGAGGTGGTTCCTGACCTCAGGCCTGCACCTTTGTAATAGGGGCTGTTTGTTTTATTGCACTGCAAGCCTACCAGTGTGTCTCTCATGTCTGTGGATAATCTTGTTTCATGCTATATGAAAGGATATCTCCAGTTACCCATGGTAGGAAGTGGGGAAATGCAGTTTAGGTACCATAGGCCCACTTAGCACAGTCCTGTAGCCACATGGTGTTACCTCCCTGTGATGCAACCCTACACAGCTGTGGTTTACTTGGAAATAATGCAACCAGGTGGGCAGAGCTGCTTGCAAAGACCTTCCTCACTCTTTTGTACTTGTCTCTTGCTAGGTAGCAAAAGCTCTTGCAATTGGTTCCACCCAAGAGTTTGCAACGTTTGCACAATGCCACTCTAGTTGGCTCTAAAAGTGCTAAGTAGTCTTATCAAACTGCTGTAGAAGTAGCAAAAAATGAGAAATTGAAGGGTTACAGTTAAATCCTTGAAACCCACATTCTCTCCACTATCAATTCATTCCTTTTTCCCTGCGCCTAATTTTCTGTTAAGTGCAAGTATTTCAGGAATTTGTAAGGAATTATGATGGGGGTGGGGTGGAGGGAGTGATGTTGATGGAGAATGGGAGGTAGGGAAGACTCATCCAATACAAACCATCTGTTCTCCAGCTTCCAGAGCTGCAGCGTCTGGGATGAAGGCACTGATCTAAACCAGACGTTGTTTCAGACAATAAAACCATATTACATGTTAATGAGAGTGTACATCTCAGAAGAAAAGGTGTGAGGCTCACTGGGTGTTCTCACCCTCTTGGGCCAGGTGTGGCTCCAAAGCCAATGCATTGTCACTTGTTGTCATCAGAGGGCTTTTACGGCCAGTTAGTGGGACCGACTGCTTTCTCTCTGGCCCTTATGTAGAAGAGATGTCCACAAGTTTTGTTTTAGTCTTAAAAAAGAAATCACAAATGACCACCGCTCAGCGGCTTTTAGCCTGATGCCTCCTTTGAACTTTATGTAGGAATCTCTTACTCCCCAATAATTCATGGATTTGAAGACTAGGTGAGGTCGCCTTGACTTTTAGCATGAGAAATATTTTACTCCTGCTCTCCCAACATGTCTTAGGTTTGATCCATGATTTCTAAATGAACACATTAAAAAATACAAAAGCTTGTTTGTTAGACCCATCGTTTGTGGTCATTCAGGAATAACCTGAGCTGAAAACAGACCACTTGCTAAGCAGTTTTGTGAACTCTCTTCTGCCATGAATTTTCTGTGTAACTTTAGTCAATGCTACGTGTGGCCTGGTTCACGTCATGCTAAGCCAAATCATAGCTAAACATGAACAGCCAGCATGTGGGGACATGGAGCAAAAATCATGATTGCTCCGCTCCTCCCCCAGTCCTGTTGCTGTTTTGTTACCCAGAGCTAAGCCAGGATTTGGCTTAGCGTTATTTGACCATGACTTTTGCTCTGTGCTTGCTCATTCATGCTTAGCACTACATGTGAACTGAGTCATTATCGCTCAGTCACCATGCCATCTGCAATATGAAATGATACTACTAACTTATATGACAGGGTTCTTGTAAGGATTTCATCAGGACAATGTATGTGAAACACTTTGGACACTGTACAGTGCAATATGAATAATAAGTAGCAGCATTAGATATTAGGTTGGGATTTGCAAGGGCCATGTGTGCTTCCATGTGGGTTACAAGAAACAGGTTTAATAGGGACCACACTGGGCCACTTAGCTATTCTCCCTCCCCTGTACTTTTCCATTTAACATAACTCTGCCCATTTTAGTACAAAGAAACAAATTGCTTGCCTTTATAGAAGTTTAAACCTCTCTGCTACTCCCAACACTTGCCTTCTCTTTTAATGGCACTCTGGTAATTGCTGCTAAGCAGAGCTATCTATCTCCAAAGCCTTTGGCATGACCTTCCCCCTACTTGTTCCTCTGTGTTCTCCTGAAGAAGAGGGGCTTATGCCCCAGACATGCCACAACTGGCATGAATAAGATACTTTCCTTGGAGGGGAGGCTGCAAGAGATCGAGCTTGCTGATAAATTTGAAGTAGTGAGGCTTTGAGAGATGTGGGCTGAAGGCACAGTTCAGTGAAGGACCCATCTCTGGAGGCAAATGGCATGCCCCCAGAACCACCTTTCTTTGCAAGAAGGTTTAAAAGGCTACAACAGCAGACACAGGAAAAACTCACCAGATGCTCCCTTTACTCCTGTGTGGATGCTTGCGGACTTGAGGTTTTGGCCAGTTCACATAATATGACTGTGTGAGGTCTGGGCCATACATTACTGGTAGAGCACATGCTTTGTATGCAGTAAACCCCAAGTTCATGTTTTGCATCTCCAGTTAGAAAAGATCTGGGATGCGGATCCTGCCTCTGAGACCTTAAAGAGCTGCTCCCAGTTGGAATGCTGAATACTAGGTAGACCCTGTAGAAGGCAGCTTCATGCATCATTTTCTCCATGGCAAGGGGATTATGTGCACAATTTAGAATTATACAAGCGGCTGTTAAGAATTAGGGAGGTTTAAATGAAGAAGAGTATAAAATTGTGGTTTGTGCTTAAATTAAATGATTCAGATATTCCCCCCCCTTTCAAGTATGGTGCAATTCATCGCGCTTCATTTCAAATGAGGTGTGTGTTTGTGTGTGTGAACTTGTGGATTGTGCCCCATGACTCAGATCTGTCTCCCATTCTTCTGTCTATAATTGCACCCATAATCTGCTTCACCTTGATTCATGGTAGGGCCACTTCTGGCTTTTCCTGGGATTCCTGGGTTCATGGTGGGTACCATCCAAATACTTGGCACATGCCTGAATTACTCTAGTGCCAGCAGTGCCTGGCTTTCTTTGTTGTACTGTGTTTAACTGGAGTTGCAGCCTGCCTGTCGCTGCTCAGTTGGGCTCTCATTTGTGTTTCATTTCTTCCCTGAATCTTCTCTGGCAATAAATTTGGAACCCTTTCCTCCTCCTCCTTCTTGTCCTGCCAGCATTCTACTTCTTTGGTGATTTTGTGCTTTGTGTATTTCTGGAGCACTGCCTCCAAAATACAGTATTGCCTTTCTCCTATTGCCTTTCAAAACTCAAAAGTCTTATTTTAGTTTGTTTGGTTTCTTTTTGTTTGCCTTTCCATTGATTGTTGCCTTTGTTTGGGCTTTTTACCAGTTGCTGCCTTATATTCTCATTTTAATTTTCTTTCCTGCTAAGCCAGTCTCCACCATTCCTGAAGTCTATTTCTGATGCCGATTTTAAAACTGTTATCCCATTGTGCCACAGAGAGCATCAAAATGTTTTATTCACAAAACATTTTTTCCTCTCAGGATCCTGAACTGATTAATATATAAATAATTACAAGACTGATATATCTATAAGATTATTCTGTGGGGCATCAGAATATAAGTGGCTCTAACGTATACCCCAGGAAGCTCTGCCTCGTAAAGTACATAAGACGCTTCCCCCAAACATCACCAGATCCCTATCAATTGCTTTGACGGTGTCATGTTTTTCTTAGACTGTTTTTGGGTTTGCTGGAATTTTGCAGCTGAATAGCAGCAAAGGAGTGGAATTATTTTTCATTTCTTCTGTTTATTATGCATCGAGGGCCCTGAACTGGGTTTGGAAAGGAAAGAGGTGTGAATTAGTTTGGGGAAGCTTGAAAAGCCACACTGGGGGATCAGGCAGCATAGATCCAAGGCAAGTTTCTGTCTCCAGTCTTGCCTCCCCCTCTCTGCCCCGAAACCTCTCAACTTAAAACAAGCAAAGAGAGCTGACAACCCACAACAATGGCTCCCTTTCTTCTCTGTTGCTGGTGTTTTGATAGTTTTATGTTACACCCCCCCACACACCCACCCTCCGTTGTGGGTTGGAGCTATGGAGGGGGGCATGTAGAGAATCTGACATGAGCGACATGATGTAATGTTTTTTTTCCAGCCTAGAAACGAGGCAATTTTTCACCCAAGGTCAGCAAAATTTATGTCAAGCCCCCAGACTCCTAGCTGGCTGGGCCTTGAGGTGGAGTGGGGGGAGAAGGAAAGAGCATTTGGAAAGGCAGGCACCTAGCCTGCCCTGGCTGCACTTTTGTAGTTGGAGGGGCCAGCCTCACTCCACAGCTTCAGCTAAAAGCATTGCATCTGCAGCCTATGAGTGGGGAAGACCATTTTATACCCCGCGTTTTGTTGATCAGCCATCACATCTGTTTCCTATTGAAAGCCTATTTGGAGGAGACAGACAGAGAGAGCGCCTTTTTATAGTTTAATAATCTTGGAGGCAATACGCCAGTCCCTTGCGGATTGTCCACTAATCGCTCCCCTCCCCCATCCCTTGTGGTTTTCATTTTAACTTCTACTAAAACAAAATAAGCATAATAAACCAACTTGAATGTTAGAGTTCCACCGAAATTATCCTTTTCAGCACCACCTCTACTCTTTCTTGAGGTTCTAGAATATACAATGCACTTCTATTCAATCCCTTCCCTTTACTCTTTCCATTTTGGAGGTTTTTTGTGTGTTGGCACTTAAAAGTTACATATGATAAGCTGTGAGTTGTCAGCTGTTTTTGCTTGCTTGGGGTAGAGGAAAAATGAGGAAAAATACTAGAGGGAGAAAGGATCCACCTGCCTGATTCCCCCCTGCCCCTATACAGTGGTACCTCTGGTTATGTACTTAATTCGTTCCGGAGTCCATTCTTAGCCTGAAACTGTTCTTAACCTGAAGCACCACTTTAGCTAATGGGGCCTCCTGCTGCTGCCCCACCACCAGAGCACGATTACTGTAAACTTTGATTCTGTAAATGGCTGCATCAACAACTTCGTTTGTCAGAATATTCTTTCTTTACTGTTCCTGCTCTGCTCAAATCCATGAATGTTGGCGTTTAGTGTAGGTCTTGCAATTAAAACTGCAGCCCTAATTTCCCAATTTCCCTAGGAGCATGCATGAGCAAGTCCCACGGAAGAGAACGGGAGCTGCAGAAGAGCTTTTAATGTTCAACTTTTGCTCATTTCAGTAGGACTTGTTCATGAGAAGTTCCTCCTGGTTTGTGCCTTAGACTTACGGGGCTGGAAGGTGTAATTGGTGGGATTCTTCTAGAGCAAATGGCCAGTAAAAGACAACATGATTCTTTGGTCACATATGTCTTTTCCCTCTGACTTCTGCTTCCCCAAACTAGATGCACCCCGATCCTGAAGCTTTTGACTGCTGCTTCACTTCTTTTTCCAAGTGTATTCTTTTATCTCTGCCCCCCTTTCCATTTTTGTTTAGCTTCATTGCTTTTGATGTTCCGAACCTCCTATCAGCACAGCTCCCATAATGCCAGCCCTGTGCCTTTCATTATCACGTTAACAAACTTGAGTCGTGCCTAACGAGGACGCCTCATACGTTATGCTAATGATCAAGAGACATGTTAATGATATTTTAGAAGCCTAATTAGTGGAATATATAACTATATGCAATTTGGTAATGGACTGTGACAACAAGTTGTTAAGAGGGGGCTTGACAAATCCGGTTGGATGTGGCCTCAGATAAACATTTGCTGAAAATGGATGAACAGGAATTGGTTGTGGGTGAGGGAAGAGAGATTTGTTGTGCATGTGTACATGCATGCATGCATGCATGCATGCATGTTAACTGCATATAAATGCTATTCCAGCAAATCAGTTAGCTTTCCTCTTTCCCTTTTGACACTCAGATGCTGTTTTATGAGGAAGTAAGTCCCCAGTGATTTCAGTGAAATTTGCTTTGCCACAACTGCATTATGATGCAATCTCTGATTGGGTTTTTTGCACACATACAACTAATTTCCAGTCTTTATTCCAGAAACTAGTGTAAATCTACATAGAGTTTGGACTTGATATCCCGCCCTTCACTCCCCTTAAGGCAGACATGTCCAAAGTCCGTTTCCGGGGCCTAATCCGGCCCACCGGTTGATTTAATCCAGCCCCTGTGGCAGTATATGTCCTGGGGTAAAATCCTAAAAAGTTCAACAACTTCAATCCTAAAAAAACCCTCAAACTTTGGTAGGCCCTCACGCATTTTCACTTCATCAAATCTGGCCCTCTTTGAAAAAAGTTTGGGCACCCCTGCCTTAAGAAGTCTCAAAGTGGCTAACAATTTCCTTTCCTTTCCTCCCCTACAACAAACACTCTGTGAGGTGAGTGAGGCTGAGAGACTTCAGAGAAGTGTGACTAGCCCAAGGTCACCCAGCAGCTGCATGTGGAGGAGGGGGGAAGCGAACCCAGTTCACCAGATTACGAGTCCACCACTCTTAACCACTACACCACACACTCTCTCCATATATATATTTAAAATAGCATAGAGACAGTGTTAGACAATGCCAGTAATGTACCAGTTTTACCATGTGTAAAATGGGCATCAGATGGACTTGCCTTAAAGGTTGTGTGGTATAACTGAGAAAATTGCTCTTGCTGCATCTCTAGCAAACTTGATCTTGAAGATGGGGTTGAATCAGTCTAAATAAATATTGACCTTCTTGTGAAGCAAGAATTGTTCAGCTTGCAGGTACTTCTAAATCCATCAAGTTCCCTGAATATGCTAGTATTGACAGGGTATTCTTTTTGCCACCTTTGCCAGCTGTGGCCTTTCTTGGAGAAGGTATATCTGGCATAAGTTTTCCAGGCCCTGGCTATTAGACTAGACTACTAGACTAGATTACTACAGTGCTTGCTATCTGGACTTGCATTTATAAAAGCAATCTGGAAACTTTGGTGAAAAATCCTTGTTTTCTGGCACTGGAGGGTCAGATCACATTCTGATCTTATACAAATATGCAGTTGTTGTCCATTTGTATCTGGATTTAAAGTGCTGGTGATTCTCAGAAATTGTCTGTTCCCATATGAACTTGCCCAGCCTCTGCAGTTGGTCTCAGAGACCAGCAATGCTGCCCACAACTGCTCCTGAGTGTTTTAATGCTTTAACTTACTCTAGGACCTTAGGGTAAAGGGTGGGTGACAAAGAAATAAACAACTAAATAAATCATGTCACGTTAACTGTTCTTCTACAATTATGGCTCTGTTTAGATTTAACACACAGGGCTGGTTCAGACATCTGTGTGCATCATTTGACTGGTAGATCAGTTGCTGACATGTAGGCAGAACTTGCCTCACACCTCAAACACAGTGCTTTTTGTTGGAGTTGAGTTCATGTGTTCAGCAGCTGCCAGTCACCAAGTGTAAAATGAGAAAGTTTAGAGAAATAAAGTGATGGGCATTCATGTATGGGCCAACTCATGCTCTTCCAGAGGCCCTAATGGTATGGATACTCTCATCATGGGGTTTATGCTTGCCTTGCTTGCCAGGCTTTCACCCCCCCCCCCCCCGGAGAGAGTTCACACTTCGTCTTGTATCACTGCCCTGGGAAGTACTACCACTGCTGTAGAGTGGCCTTGATAATGAATTATTAACTATATTTGGTTCTATTTGGTTAAAAACCCCCCAAAGTTTTTTGCATTTCTCCGGTGGTGTCATTGACCCCCGGCTTCTTGGCAAATTACAAAACTGGATGACTTCTCTTCATCTCATAGAGTGATTGGTGTTTTGACAGGAGCACACTAGCTATGCCAACTGGAAACTCAGTAAGGATTCTCACTAAGGACTGATTGACCCTACAGAGGGGTAGAGGTTGCTGTGATCCTACATATTTTATTAGGGAAACTGAGGGTGAGGGACAAACTTGCTTAGGGACACCTAGTGGATTCATGGTTGAGATGGGATTTGGAATGCCGTTCAAAAATGAAGTGGCACTGAACTTTAGATGTGATGCTTATGTCAAGTGTAGAATTTGGTGGATGCTGGGTTGTGAGCAAGTGGGAGATGATCACTGTAAGAAAGTACATAGAGAATGAGGTACCTACATTGGCAGGAGGTTGGATTGGGTGATGTAGGAGGGATCTCAAACTTCAAGATTCCATGAATGTGTGAACACTTCTTTTGCGATCCAAGATGGTATTGTGGCTTATATGTTCTGCAGTTTTGTGGCTATCTTACAAACGGCTATGTTTGCTTTTGTTCAAGTATAAATTCTTTGGCTTCTGCAAAACGTGCACATTGCAAGCTGTTAGTTGCTATAAATTGCAAATGTGTACAAAATGAAAACAGAAATTGGTCCTGTTGCTTTGTGTTGCTTGAAGTTACACCATACCCACTTGTCCCCTTTCCCTACGTGTGACATGAGTGAGATGCACAAAATGAGTGGGACTTGCACTATCATATTTGACATAAACCATGTCACAATGTGGCATGAGTGAAGTTTGAAGGAAAATGGGTCGGAGTTATAACCCGCTTGGTAAAGCACCAAATTAAAGAAATCTTTGGGACCTGACCATCTGTGTGCTTCTGATGCCTGTTGTGAAGGGGCCTCAGAAAAAACATCTGGAAGCATTGCCCAGATGCTATGTTCTCATTACCTGTAGCTGCTTGCAGCTTTTCAGCAGCAGCAGCAGCAGGTCCTAGGAGAACGGTGACCATGTCCCCCCTGCAACCTCAACATCTCTCCCCCCACTCCACCCCAGCATGTCTGTCCTCCCCATCATTAAACAAGAACAGTAAAGCAGAAGAATCTTTACACACTGTGATTTTATACCATGGATCAAAGATCAAAGCAGAGCACAGTGACCATAAAAATAACTGCTTTTTCAATTTTACAATGCTTTCAGTGGTAAAGAATCAAATAAATTTAATATTAATTAAACACTTAGCTTTTAACCTCCTTCTGCATCCACATTTGGCTGCCTGTTGGAGAAAAATTAATTGGGCATCTTAAATCTTGCGTTACTAAATGCTTTGACAGAGGTTTCAGAAGCACTTATAACTTAAAGCTAAAGGCAATGGGACCATTTGTCCTTGCACTCACTTAATTGAAAAGTCTGAGATTGGAAGGTGGGGGGAGGGAGGAAAGTGCCATTTTATGGTTGAGTTTCATTCTTTCTTTTTTCCTTAAAAAAAAGCATAACTTACAGTTCCGGTATTACAACCTCCGTTTTAATTCCATCTCTGTAAGTGACACCTTGCAGAATGGAAACGATTGATCTTCTGTTACATGCGCCCTATTGATCCTGCACCATGCTGGAATTTGGAAGAAATTTGATATTTGTAGTTTTATGAGATGATAACATTTAATACCTTTTTCTAGTATTCTTCTCTCTGCTTCACAGACTTGGATATGGAAAATCAGAACAAAAACATAAACAATTAAGTATTAAGAATTTGCATTACTTTGTGAAATATTGAGCATTCATTTGAAAATGTAGCTCTTTTTGGAGCAAGATGCATCCTGCCTCTAGTTGCATCAGCACACACTGGATTAAGAATGCCAGTTGTTGGGGAGGCCAAGTGCTGAGAGCATTCTTGCGCTCATGTCCAGCTTTCGGACTTCCTTTTGGCATATGTTTAGCCACTGTGAGCACAGGATGCTGGACTAGATGGTTCATTGGCCTGATCTAGCATGACTCTCCTTATGTTTAAGGCAGAAAGTAAAGAGGAATGGAGTGTTACACAACAGAATACTAGATAGTAACTTTTTAAAGTAGGAGAAAGCATGGGAAAAACAGAAGGAGCTACAAACCTATTTGGAGAAGTGACAGGAGCTGGAAATCAGTTGGAGTGCCTGCTTGGATTGGCTCCTTCAGTGACCTGCACCAACCTTCCTGTCACCTTGCCTCTTCCTGTCGTCTTCTCAGTAAGTGACAGCGACACACCTACCAGGAACTGAATTTAACATGGGAAAATATGAGAAACTGAGAGAAATGAAACTTGACACTTTTGTCCATCCTTACCATATGTTCACCAGCCTTTGTGAAGGAAATTGTTGGGAGAGTCCTCATACCAGTTGCATCCCATATCCAGGTCATCCAGCATGCTGTGGTTTTGTTTCCGTTTACCTGTATATTGATAGGTAGAAAAGTCACAGTGACAATCTTCTATGATTAACTTTTTAAAAAAATATATATATTTAAATGTTTGTCCATGGTTCTTCTTGCAGCAAAAGCAGAAACACGTGTGTGTGTGTGTGTGTGTGAGAGAGAGAGAGAGAGAGAGAGAGAGAGAAATCCTTACCGGACATCATAGAACATTGTAGGCACAGCTGACAGTTCAGGGGAGTCAGGGGAAGGGGAGACATCTCCAGAACCAGAGATGCCCCCATCTTCACAGACATGACAGGCTCTGAGGTGTCATGAACAGCGGAAAGTGCACTTGGGGCATGCAAGAGAACACAATCCAGCGTAGTAGTTGATCAGGTGAAGACTTAGTGGAATAAAAAGAGAAGCAAGGAGAGTCTGTGTCTGTTCAACTTCCATCATTGATGCACCATGGCTTGACTGTTTCAGGAGCTCCACTGGACTGCAGTTTTGGAACTGACCCTAGGATTCCAAATGGATCTTCTTCAGAGATGAGAAAGTGGCCTTATGGTTTGACTTTGAACCTATATTTGATCATTGGACTCTAGCATTGCCCTTGGGACTGTTGTCCCAATAGCACTTTCTTCTTAGACTACGCTGCTCGCTGTGTGCACTATTGGGACTTAACTCAGAGTATGCTGGGGTTCAGAACAGGTATAAGGAGCACCCTAAGCTGCAGTGGCCCTGCCTCTTCTCCCATTGTCTGGCCTCAATGGTTCCATTGCATGGACCACCATCTCCTCATCCCGAATCTACCTTCTCCAAGATGCTTATTATACGTGGTTAAGGGCTTGAGTAGGTGAATATCTTCATCTTACTCCTCCTATCTCTCTCTGCCCTCTTCCATGTCTTGATACTTTATATATCCTGGAAGCTCACAGGTACTCACATTTAGGTGGTGGTGGGATGTTAAAATATTTTTCTTTTAATTTACAAATGTATGTACTTCTGAGTGGAAGCTCCCAAGTATGTAGAAACTACTACTTTATTATTATTATTTGCATGGACACTTTGCTTGAAACTGACAAGCACTCAACCACCTGAATTTGCTGTTCGAAAGAATGAGGATGATAACGCCTGCAATATCTTTTGTTCTGGCATTGTCAAACCGATCTTCCTCCTCTACCTCTACCCGCCCTCCCCTCCTATGTCTTGTCTTTTCAACTGTAAGCATGAGGGACGGTGTCTCATTTCCATTCATTCACTACACTCCCCAGCAGCATTTTTGTGCTGAATGTTAATTGCTGTAAGCCACTTTTTTTTTGCTCACATGCTCTGGAACGTATTTCCACCAAATGTTTGTTCAGACCACTTTCCGCCATGCTTGTTACCTCTGCCTTCACCCCAAACTGGCAATTGTTTTAATTCAGCAGAGCTGCTTTCTTATAGAACTGTAAAGTGAGACCTTAGAGAGAGACCTGCTCTGGTTGTAAGCTTGCAGCTTGCCACCTTTTTCCTGACAGAGGCTCTTTTAGCCAGTTTCCTTTTAACAGGCGCCTGCTTACAAGACATTAAACATATATGTCCTTTCCGATCATGGGCATTTGCTGTGGTGAGAAGATGGCACCCGTGGAATGTTTTGTTTGCAGGCAGCTGTTGTAGAGGGAAGAAGGGCTACTGTAGTTCAGATGGGTGAATCGAAGTGAAGTGAGATAAAATAACCTCTGGCAGGACTCTTTTGACCTGAAGGTTTTGCAGTCTGATGGTTGTTCTTCAAACAATAGCAGGGCTGTTAGCTCAGGAGAGGAAGTGCTAGAGTTGTTAACCAGCATTGTTTGCTCAGATTATACATTCCTAGACTTAAAAGAATTTCCCCATTGGTTAACCTATTTACTTCTGAGTCCAGTTTAAAATGCTGGTGCTTCACTTTAAAGCCTTAGACAGCTTGAGATGCAAGTACCTTCTCTCATCAGCATCTTAAAAAGCAGAGAAAATCACCTTGCCAACGAAGGTCCGTATAGTTAAAGCCATGGTTTTCCCGGTAGTGATGTATGGAAGTGAGAGCTGGACCATAAAGAAGGTTGATCGCCGAAGAATTGATGCTTTTGAATTATGGTGCTGGAGGAGACTCTTGAGAGTCCCATGGACTGCAAGAAGACCAAACCTATCCATTCTGAAGGAAATCAGCCCTGGAAGGACAGATCCTGAAGCTGAGGCGCCAATACTTCGGCCACCTCATGAGAAGAGAAGACTCCCTGGAAAAGACCCTGATGTTGGGAAAGATTGAGGGCACAAGGAGAAGGGGACGACAGAGGATGAGATGGTTGGACAGTGTTCTCGAAGCCACAAACATGAGTCTGACCAAACTGCGGGAGGCAGTGGAAGACAGGAGTGCCTGGCGTGCTCTGGTCCATGGGGTCACGAAGAGTCGGACACGACTAAACAACTCAACAAAACAACCTTCTCTCATACCAAGTGGATGCTCTTCTCCAAAGAGTAGTGGAGGTATGCCTCCTGGTATCAGCATCCTTGCTGGGGTTTTTTTTAGGCATCTTGCGAAAACTTTTCTTTATTCACCCAGGCAATTTAAAACATTTTTACTTTCTTGGGTCTTTATTTCTGCTTTTTTTCTGCTTGCTGTTTTGAGTGAATTTCTTATTTTCTATTTTTGTATATCTTCTTGAAATCTTTGATAAAAAGGAGAATACACATGGTTTAAATTATTAAATGGAGCTGCCAGCTTCTTAGACAACTGTCATGACTTGTGACTCTTGAATATAATCTTTCTTATCCGGCATAACACAATTGGATTAATTGTTCATGTATACAAAGGCTGTTATTTTCAACATTAACCCAAACTTTGCCTTAACCAGCAGTGAAAGTGAATTTTGACGTTGCGTATGGAGTACTACATCCTTTAGCAGTGACATAATATACTTTTTGAACGTAAACCTTTCTGACAATTTTTATGGACTGTGTTCAAAGAGTGGCCAGGTTTGCACCTAATGAGAAGCCAGAGTTAAACCAAACAATGACTTAACAGGGAACAAACAAATGGGTCTGGTGCATGCTGCTCAAATCCTGCTTCTCCCCATCCCTGTCTTCACCATGCTGGGTGGAAACAAGCAAGAATAACCCAAAGATGAACCATGGTTTTTCTCCTGGGGTGGTACTAGGGGTATAGAGGCATGATTACACCAAGCAGCTTATACCAGCATATTTGTAAATTCCTGGTTAAGCCATTATTTAAGACTGGCATGCGTTTATGTGCGAGCCAGGACAACATGTCAAGAAAGTTCACTGCTGCATTGCTTATAGGACATGGGCCCGGTCCATCATTGTGTTAGGATATGCTGCAGTTGTTCAGTTTGGGGAGGAGGAGGAGGGGAGAGTCAGAGACTCTCTGTACATGGGCAGAGATGCTTCTCTTTATAATGTGTTATTACTTGGTGAAAGGGGGGGTATAGCCAGGGGCAGACCTTGGTAATATGCCACCCTGTGGAAAAGTGGCAGGAGGACTCCATGGCCATGCCAGTGCCCTCAGACCCTCACTTCCCGAAGCAGGGCAAGTGCTTACGGGATTTTGAGAAGGCTCTCTTCTTGGCTGCACACCCGGTATGACTGCACTGCTCACCCTGCCCCCAACAGAGCCAAAGATCAGCACAGTAAGGCTGTTTGCACCACAAGGGCTAAGACCCTGAGATATTCATGAAGCAGACCATTATGTTCAGAAGCAATTGCTTGTTCACCCTCTTGGTTTATCTGCTCATATTTTCAGATTTGTGGTAGTTTCGGTTAAATGTACGGCTCAGATACGTTGTAATGTTTGGATGGAATCCTTTAGGAGGGAAATGCTCCTCCCCACCCCCATCTCAGGTGGGGGTTTTTTGGTAACATGTGAACTTGCAGGGGAATATAGTTTGATACATCCCAGCACATATGCCTCTTGGTACCCAGTCACGGACTACACCCATCAGCAAATCCTTTGCTCAATGTGATTTTAAGCAGCCCCACCTCCTGCAAGGCCTCTCCATCACCCTGGCAGATAAGGCTAACGGCAGTCTTTCTGTGTACCCCTTTTCGCCCCAATCCATTTCCCCCCAACCTTTGCAAGCATGCTTTCTTTTCCTGTTATCCAAGGGAGGGGAAGCAAAAAAGAGAGAAGAACAACTGTATAAAAATGTTAATTTATTAATCATTGCCTATATAGCAGTTCATCTGAAATGCTGTTGCTATGCCAACACCCTGGGAGTTTATTTTCTTAATCCAAGTGAGGAGCTCCCGGTCTCTTGGCCCCCTGCTGTGTCATTTGAATATGGTGGTGCTGCTGCTGCCGCCACCACTGCTGTAAGGGGGGGCGGGAAGAGAGGGAGAGGGAGGGAAAGAGATGGGGGGGGGGAGAGAAGGAGGAAAAGGAGGCTAAACCACCAAAGCAGTCAAATGCAAAGCAGTAAGAGGCCTTTCTCAGTACGACTTAGTAAAAATGACACAAATTAATATACTCTACTTAAACCAGACCAAGATTAATGGTTCTCTATCAGAGCTGCTTAGTCCAACTGTCACTCGGCAAGCACGCGTCGGACAAAATCAACACTAATCAACATTTATTCCTCTCTTGCCCTTGGGTCCGAGGAGGGAGAGAGGGCTGCGGCGTTCTCCCGCTTGTCTCGCCACGCTTTTCACCCTCTATCCAGCTTTGCCATATATCACCCTTCCTCGCTGTGCCTCTCCTTGTACAGATCCACACACTCAGCTATCAGACAACATTAGAGGCATGATAGATTTTCTGTTTTAATTTACATCTATTATATTACAACATAACAGTTCTTGATTCAGGGGAGGCTAGTGTCTCCTATAGATGGCCTCAACGGGAGGATTTCTGCATTAACTTATTAGGGCTGGTTAGAATGGGCTTTCAAATAGACTCCCCGCCCCCCACCCCTGCCTCTCTCATGCTCTTCCTTGCATGGTCAGTGAAGACACTTTGCTGCTGCCGCCCGTCCAGGAGTACTTGGACTGGTATGCATTGCTTTTCTTCACGAAGCTGGATGTTGTGCTTCGGCTGCCTTTTTAAAGGAGCACAGTGCCGAAGTGGAATTTGACACATGCAAAAGCGCATATTAATATCAGGGGAAATAATTTAAGAGGGTTGTGTGCAGGTCCTGGGGAAGTTCCTGGTGCCGTGTGCCCAATGGCACTTCCTGAGGCTTACTTTTTACTTCATCACTGTGTTTATCTAGATTGATAGCCCACCCATTTTAGCGTTTTTAGCCCCTCCCCCCTGGATCATTCCAGCACCCCCCCGGGGGGCGGTATCACCCACTTCGGGAAACACTGATCTAAATCATATCTGTGGTTTTATTGATACTTTCATCCTTTTTACAGTGAATTGTTTTTTGCTTTGACTGTAAGTTACCTGAAATATATATATTGTAGAAACACAGTGTATAAATTTAAAAACTAAATACAGTAACTACTAAACCAGCAACTAATAAATCAAGCACAGAACGCTCCCCAGCTGAGTAAGCAAGGCCCTGCTAGGAACAGACTATTTTTCTAAATGCCAAATGGGGTTTTTCTGGCTTTCTGAGATTTCATTGACGGCCTTACTGGTATTTGCCCAAGGTGGAATACAAACCTAAAAGTACCTTAAGATAACCAGAATTTCGCACAACCGTAATAATAATTCATGCTGGCAGCAAAGCATAATCATAAGCAGCAATGAAAAAAACAATTTAGAAGATTTGAGAAAAGATGGATTTTTATTTTGTTTATTTTTACTAGCTTGGCATACAGGAATTTGCCTTTCCCATTTTGCCCCCTCCCCTCTGGTTTGGGTAGGAGATTTTGGCTATTTTGCAGGTTCTGGCTGAAGGGGTGCTGGCCAATCAAACCTGACTTTTTCAAAAAGAAGAGTTTGCCAATACCCATTTTTGCCAAGGGGTAGTACATATACAAAAGACACAGCTTGCGTGCTTCTGTGTGTAGGGGTCTACAAAATGGGTACCACAACAGAGAAGACCATGCCTTACCTATTAGATGCTCTCAGCTCATGTGTGTTGGCGGCACGCACAGCGAACTTTTCGTGTGAAGGTTAAGTATGTTGGATTTAGTGGACTCCTAGGACACAAACCTGTGAGTTAGACCTGTGGAAGATCCCAACAGTGATCTTCTGCAGCTCCCATTTGTTTCAATAGGACTCCCATTGAATCCTGCCTTTTATCTCTCTCCCCGCCACCCACCCCTGACAGAGTTCAATGATAGAGCCACACTGTATGCCCAAGTGAACATGTTAGGTAATTTATAGCATGTTTGGAGGGAAGCTGGTAACTTGCATGTAAATTTTGTATTCAGCATTAAAGTAAGTGATGCCTACTCAAACTTTGAGCTTAATATAATCACACTTTTAAAAAAGAAGAAGGAAGGAAGGAAGGTACTTCCAGTAATAGGAGGTGCTTGTGTTAACCGTGTCTCGAAAGCTGGCCTCAATAATTTTAATGATGGGGAAGAGACTCTTGACTAGGGAGGTTGGGGGAGGGAGGGAGACATGGAAAACATGGACATCCCTGCCCCTCTGATGAGCTGGCTGTGTTTATCCCTTTGTTGAAGCCACCGCATCCCACTGGGTGCAGGAGAGATGTTCAGCATTGCTGCATTTGCAAACCACTCTTGTAACACTAATAAAATGGGAAACACTGCTTTATAAGGTGGTTACTTAGGATAACTTCACTTCCATAAAATCTGGTAACCAGATCCAAAATATTCCTGATGGACTTTAAGATGGCTTCCATTTTTAAAAGAACACTTTTCTAGTGTCTTGAGACACCCAAAATGTTGGAACAATTGGATAATTCATTTGAAACTAAAAAGCCAGTGGTTACTTTTTATAGATATTTATTATCAACAAATAAGTTTGATAGGCAGAGTTTAATAAATGATTGGAATGTTCACTATTACCTAGACAGTGGGAAAATGTCTTGGCGTTGGTATCAGACGTATTGATGGAACCTAAACTAAGACTTATTCAACAGAAAATACTATTGAGAATCTATTGGACTCCCTTACGTTTGTATAGGAAAGGACAATGTAATGTAGCTCTTTGATGGAGATGTAATATGGACAATTCTTCTTTGAAACACATGCTTCTACTGTGTCCCACGCTTTCTAAGTTTTGGGAGAAAGTGCTGGACTATATAAACAAGAAACTACAGAAAAATTTAAGATTTTCAGAGGTGAATATGCTCTTGAACTATATACCCATTGTATGGAAATTGACAGCAGGACAGCGAAAATGGATTCAATGCACCCTAATGATACGGATGAATTGGAAGAATTAGAGATAATATTCCCCTTAATCAATAACTTGACAACATTGGCAACATATGAACGGACAACTTTTAGACACAGACTTTTTTGGATAAATACAATGATATTTGGAATGAGTTTACACAGAATATATTTGATTCTTGATGATTATGTGTGCACTGTATTAGGATAATAATATACATATATGCATGGTAATGTAGCAGTATTTTTTCTTTTTTTATTCTCTCGCCTTTTTCTTGCTTTTTTCTCACTCTTATCTTTTTATAAATGAAATTCTTCTAATAAAATATTTTTTTTAAAACCCACTTTTCTAGATCTCATGACTGGCTTTGCTGAATTTCAGTAGACTGGGAGTTTGTGCTAGAAAGGGTTAGATAACAGAACCATTGGCTTTAACTGAACGAGGTAGACTTGCAACTGCAAAAGTATTTGGTAGGATTCCACTAATCAGCCTCATCAGCAGAAGCCCTGCAGAAAGACTTCTTTTTGCATAATGGGGCTTTCTGCACTCTCCTCCCCCAATGTGCCCCCATGCCCACCCCCCAAAAAAACCCTCAGAGTAGTGGGGTAGAAAAAGAAAGGGGTAATAATTTCACCTGGTAGTGTTTGCACAGACAGAATGTTTGGAAGTTAGCAATGATGAGTTCTACTCTTTGGGATTAGTTGACAGGTGTCTGCCCAGCCACCTCTGCTCAGGTATCAAAAGAAACAACTGGAATAATCATAAAGATTTAGAGCTCTATGAGTTTATCAACTAAACATTGCCTTCTGGTTTATTAATGTGAGGCATTGGCTGCATTTAGACATAGCAGTAAACTATGGTTCTATCTATCTTGTCTATCTATCCCCCTGACAGGACTCAAGACAGCTTGCTGATCTTTACTTGAATGGCTTATCTTTACTGGAAGGAGCCTAGGCAAATCTTAAGTTTGGGTGCTCCCACTTTCCACTGGCACATCCATGAGGAGACTGGAAGCATTCATTTCAATTAACTACAGTTTACTGTTATGCAAGGCCAAACCCTTGCATATGAATTAATGAATGAATGAATAAAAAGCTGTAGTTACTTTTAACGATGGCTTACAATAGTTAACTACAGAGAAGGGAGTGCGCAAGCCCAAGGCTTGCTGTGGATCATTTTGTAACAGTAAACCATAACTTATTGTTGTCTCCAATTTCAAGCACTTTTTTCAGTTCTCCAAATGGAAATACTAAAGGAGATGGTTTTTGACTTAGAATGGGTAACTAGAATCATAGAATCATAGAATCATAGAGTTGGAAGAGACCACAAGGGCCATCGAGTCCAACCCCCTGCCAAGCAGGAAACACCATCAGAGCACTCCTGACATATGGTTGTCAAGCCTCTGCTTAAAGACCTCCAAAGAAGGAGACTCCACCACACTCCTTGGCAGCAAATTCCACTGTCGAACAGCTCTTACTGTCAGGAAGTTCTTCCTAATGTTTAGGTGGAATCTCCTTTCTTGTAGTTTGGATCCATTGCTCCGTGTCCGCTTCTCTGGAGCAGCAGGAAACAACCTTTCTCCCTCCTCTATGTGACATCCTTTTATATATTTGAACATGGCTATCATATCACCCCTTAACCTCCTCTTCTCCAGGCTAAACATGGCCCAGCTCCCTTAGCCGTTCCTCATAAGGCATCGTTTCCAGGCCTTTGACCATTTTGGTTGCCCTCCTCTGGACACGTTCCAGTTTGTCAGTGTCCTTCTTGAACTGTGGTGCCCAGAACTGGACACAGTACTCCAGGTGAGGTCTGACCAGAGCAGAATACAGTGGCACTATTACTTCCCTTGATCTAGATGCTATACTCCTATTGATGCAGCCCAGAATTGCATTGGCTTTTTAGCTGCCGCGTCACACTGTTGGCTCATGTCAAGTTTGTGGTCAACCAAGACTCCTAGATCCTTTTCACATGTACTGCTCTCAAGCCAGGTGTCCCCCATCTTGTATTTGTGCCTCTCATTTTTTTTGCCCAAGTGCAATACTTTACATTTCTCCCTGTTAAAATTCATCTTGTTAAAATTCAACTCTATTGGTAGTACCCCTTGCATGCAGTACATGTCATAGTAGGCCACAAGCTGAACCTGAGTTGACAGTGATGCAGCAACAAAAATGGGATAATACTCTTCTGGGCTGCATCAACAGAGTTCTAGTGACCAAATCAAGGGACGTAATAGCACCACTCTATTCTGCCATGGTCAGACCACACATAGAGTTCTGGGCACCACAATTTAAGAAGGATATTGACAAGCTGGAACATGTGCAGAGGAGGGTGAGCAAGATGATCAAGCATCTGAAAACCAAGCCTTTTGAGGAACGGTTGAGGGAGCTGGGTATGTTTCGCCTGGGAAAGAAGAAACCGAGGAGATAGGATGTTCAAATATGTAAAGAGCTGTCACATGGCAAATGGACAGAAGCATATTAATGTTTCTTCTTAGTTGTGGATTGACCCCTGAATTCACCAGCAGAGGTGGGGGTCCGAGAGGCATAATTGGTGGGTTATGTGTGACAAACAGCAGTTATTGGAAAGAAGAGAGGTTGTGCTGAGAGCACCTTTAGGTGTGCCGAGGTGCCTCTCTCTGGAAATCTGTCACTGGGTAGTGAATCTATTGTCTTGTAGGAATGCACGCTGTTTGCTTACGTTCTGCCTGTATTTGTAAAGAAGGCAAATACTACAAAGATGTCCTAAGTATCATTTTCTCTCTTCTCCAAAGAAACATAAACCTGGGAAGTGCTTTGCTGGTCTGCCCTTGGGCGTGATCTAGAGAAAGGTGGAAGGCACTGCTAGGTTCAGCCCAGTTAAGAGAAGATTGAGGGGAGGGTTGGAAAGTGTTTTTCAGATATTTAGAAGAGTCTTGTGAGGATGTTTACCACTAAAGATGGAATAAAAAGAGATGGATTTAAATTACAGGAAATCTGATTCAGGCAAAATGTCTGAACTTCCCAACTACTTGGACAGTCTGGCAATGGGATAAGTTGCCCTGGGAAGTGGAGAAATGTGTTTTCTTGGAGGTTCTCAAGTGAGGCTGGGCCAGGAGGAGGGGGAGAGAGAATAGTTCTTGGCTGTGGGCCACCTGGAATTTGGCACCATGGCACCAGATTTAAAAACAGTTCCCCCTTCTCTTGGGTTATATGTGACACAGTCTAGAGTAAGGTGCCTACTTTTAAGTGTTAGTCTCATTTTAGTAAGGTAAAGGTAAAGGTACCCCTGCCCGTACGGGCCAGTCTTGACAGACTCTAGGGTTGTGCGCTCATCTCACTCTAGAGGCCGGGAGCCAGCGCTGTCCGCAGACACTTCCGGGTCACGTGGCCAGCGTGACAAGCTGCATCTGGTGAGCCAGCGCAGCACACGGAACGCCGTTTACCTTCCCGCTGGTAAGCGGTCCCTATTTATCTACTTGCACCCGGGGGTGCTTTCGAACTGCTAGGTTGGCAGGCGCTGGGACCTAATGACAGGAGCGCACCCCGCCGTGGGGATTCGAACCGCCGACCATGCGATCGGCAAGTCCTAGGCGCTGAGGCTTTTACCCACAGCGCCACCCGCGTCCCATTTTAGTACGCCTGCACAAAAAGCATTTTGGAGCATGCAGTGGCTTCAGTTTGGGAAGAGGAATACTCTCTGGGACATTGTTGTTGTTTAGTCGTTTAGTCGTGTCCGACTCTTCGTGACCCCATGGACCAGAGCACGCCAGGCACTTCTGTCTTCCACTGTCTCCCGCAGTTTGGTCAGACTCTGGGACATAGGAGCCAGCTTCTAGGGGCCGAGGAGTCTCTCTCTTTTCCCCCCCTAAAATATTTGAGCGCCGCCCCTGCCCCAAGTTGATGGGCATTGCCATTCAAATGGTGTGCATGCCCCACATCATGTGATCGATTATGTGGGGTGGGGCTTACCTGGGCCTCTCAATATTTTATTCAAGTTGGCATCCCTGCTCTGGCACATGCCAAGCTCCCATATTCACCTGAACTGCAGGGTTTTCCATCCCTCATCTGGAGACAGCTGATGGTGGCAGTTATCAGAGCGAGGCTATTGAACAGGATGTTCCCTTTGCCCCTAGGCTGATGT